TTTAATTCCACATGTGAAGGCAAATAAATAATGTTTTCAGTATGCAATTTCCCTGCCATTTCCTTCTTTTGTTATGCAAATGTTGGGCCTTTTCATTATTAAAACTGCATGAGATATTGCATTACCGGTATTTTGGAATGATAGAATATTACAAATAAGGATGATGCTGTATTGTAAACACAAGCTAGATAAAATTTAGGTAAACCTTTCATCGACCACGGAAAATTGTGGAATTCATAAATTGTTACAATACAAGTTTCCATAAGATAACAGTCTTGAGTTATCACCGGGTTCCGGGAGCGTTGATGACGTCATGAAATCCAGCATCCCTTAAAATCGATGTTACCGTCAGCTTCCAGCCATAAATAAGAAAAGTAAAATGCATGCGGATATTGCATTCGCGATTGAATCAGAGTATAGAACTTTAAATCAAAAATTAACATATAATCTATGCCATTCCACTAACTAGTTGTTCAAAAGGCGCTCAAGAAATTATTGTCTTGAATATTGCAGAGGGCGCAACCTTTAAAAATTCTTCAAGGGGACCTCCCCTTCTTCAGAAACACTCCTATATGGAAGTTGACTCAACCGGGTTAGCAGGGCCACCCAGGCTATTTAAGCAGGCCTAAAATTTCTTATTACGATCACACAATAGACTATCGAGGAAACTGTCTACGATCGTTTCATTATTGCTAGAACAACAACATTTCACCTGGAAGATCAACCAAGTACATTTCACTTCAAAGATTAACCAAGCATATTTTACTTGAGTGATTAACCAAGCACATTTCACCACAGTGATTAACCATTAACCAAGCACATTTCACCTCAAAGATTAATCAAGCACATTTAACCTCAGTGATTAACCATTAACCAAGCACATTTTACCTCAAAGATTAACCAAGCACATTTAACCTCAGTGATTAACCATTAACCAAGCACATTTCACCTCAAAGATTAACCAAGCACATTTAACCTCAGTGATTAACCAAGCACATTTAACCTCAGTGATTAACCATTAACCAAGCACATTTTACCTCAAAGATTAACCAACCACATTTTACCTCAAAGATTAACCGAGCACATTTCACCTCAAAGATTAACCAAGCACATTTAACCTCAGTGATTAACCAAGCACATTTAACCTCAGTGATTAACCAAGCACATTTAACCTCAGTGATTAACCAAGCACATTTAACCTCAGTGATTAACCATTAACCATTACCTCAAAGATTAACCAAGCACATTTAACCTCAAAGATTAACCAAGCACATTTCACCTCAGTGATTATTTACGAGTGAGGGGTTAGTCAATTCCCTTTGGGAAATGGTGGGATTTCGCCTTGGCAATCGTTTCCCCCCTGTAGATATGTTTTAGTACGTTCATAGCAGGTTTAGCCTGATCATGCAGATATGATGGGTCAGCGATTAATAAGCCACAGTTCATAGTAATAAGTTTTTCGCAGTCGAGCTGAGCCTCACAAATTCATTGCAGCTATCAGCTGCGTTATGAGTCTGATTAGCACACCCACGCTTGCTTATTAAGTTATTTGCTTATAAGCGGTGACATCTAATGGGAATAGAGCAGATTGCTTTTAAGTGCGACTTATTTTCTTGTGTGACTTGGCTAAAAGGTTAGATGCTATCTGGGAGAATATTATCACGGTATAAGATATTTTGTGAAAGAATAAATGCATGTATATGTTCTGGGCTCTCCACTGTTTTACAGCGAGTTCTCTTTGATTGGCAGTTCAGTAATATTTCTGGCAAATTGCTGCTTATTATAATTTACAGCAACTGTGAAACATAAGGGCACGCGGAATTGTTTTGTTGCATTGCGTCGAAGGTAATATATGTGATGAATTGGATCGTTCATGGTTTTATTATGCATGAAACATCCCTTTCGTGAGTGTGACTAAATGAAAATATTGATACTATAGGACAAGTTGGTTACAAAATACAAACAAAATAACGGAAGCTATTTGCTCATGTCTGGTAAGGACAGTATGTCATAACTTGATAGTTTTTTTAAACTCATTTGAAGGAACATCGCAAATTTTTAGCCTTGCAAATGACCTCGGACGGCAGGAATTAATATTGGACTGAAATCTCTTAACTCAGTCGCCGTTAGCGATAGAGTAGAACATTTTCGATTACATTTGTTCCAATCCTTAGCGAAAAAGAGTATATTTGATATATTCGATATATTTGTAAGGAGAATACCTCAATCAGCTGTGTGGAATTATTTTGAATATATGGCTCATAGAGGCGGTTCAAAAGGATGCTTCAAATTGGTTCTATTTCTTGCTGTTGGACTAGTTCAAGAGATTCTTGCCTGCGCTGATTCGTATCAATGTCGTTTTGGCCAGCAGTGTTGCAAAGACACACATACATGCAAAGCAAGCTGCTTGAAGAAGCATGAAACAAATGTTGGGGTTGTAATTGGTATCGTTGCTGCAGTCGCCTTGGGCAATGCTCTTTTTTGGATCACGTTTTGTTGCCTGTGCTGGTGCAAGGGAAAGCGAAAATCAAGTTTCCGATATCGACCGTTCTCTGGGAACGAAGACAATGGTCAACCCAGTAGCATTGTTGATGTAGTCGATAATAATGGCGATGTTATCAGTGAGGATCACATCAACGATGAAACTGAAACAACAAAGGTTCTGGGCGTAAATGAACAAAGTAGCTCCCGTAGAGAAGAAATAAGTCTCTCTATTATAAAGATAAAACGACCGATTATGAAAAGTGGAAAGGGCAAGGAAAAACTGGTTGACAACATGGAGGAAAATGCATGACTATAAACACACGCAGATATCTATAAACCTTATAAATTTTCTTACTCATGCAGGAGATACATCCCGAATTCTCTGTAATTGCCAGTGAACTCTCCAACTTACATTAGATTATATTATCCCCTCATTTTCAAACTATTGTTTTTGTATACATTTCAGCGAATTTGAAAATTATCCGAAGGCCGGTTACACGGTACATTTCTACTTTTATGGGATGTATTTTAGTGAGCTGTCTTCAAAATGTAAGTGAACGAAAGGAGTATAATAAACACAAAAGTTTATTACTCCATGGAGTATTATAAGTTTCGTAGTTTTCAAATTTACATCTCTCAAAAGTATTGCAAGTTGCGTGAAAAATTGCACTGCATGCATGTGTATAAACAGAGCCTTAATATTTTTATAAAAAACTGCAGAAATTTTTCAGAACATTGTGTATGTAGCTATATTTATGGTCAGTTTTGTAGAATATATATTGCATAGTTTGGGAAGATTTAGAGGTGATTACTTTAATGGTGATATTGGTGGTAGTAATATGATCGTGATGATAATGGTAGAAGTAATTACTGTGGTGATAGTATACTAATTATGGTGGTGATGATTATATTAGTATTGTTGATGATAGTAATACTGATATTTATGGTGATAATCATGATAGCGATTGTTCTGTATTATTACGATGACAATAATATTGATGATGGTGAAAACGATGTAATTATTAAAATATGGGGGAAATGTTAGCATTGATGACGGTGACGATTATTGTGATACTGAAAGCAATAATGGTGGTAATGATGTTATATTGATGATGGTTGTTGTAGGGGTGTTAAAGAATGAGAAAAAATACACGATGCAGACTTTCTTTAAACCAAAACTCATTTCATCACCAATGAAGACTGTATTTTAATAGTTGAGAGCTTGTCAAGAAATCATTTCGGTCAAAGAAAGAATTGTATGACGTCAATATGGCTAACATTGGCACCAACTTGCAGAGTTGCAAAAAGAGTTCAACCATCCTCCGGTAGGATTTCAAGTTTTGAAAACCTTCCTCAAAATGACGTTACGACACTAAGTCAAGTAGCAACCAGCATAAAGATATATTTGGTTGTTTGGTACATGCATGTGATCAATTAGATTGTGCAACTTTGAACCTTCCTCACAAACCTCATTCAAAGCAAACCTTCCTCCGGGTGGCACCCGCGTACCCGATGCTTTTTTGCAACTCTGCCAACTTTGCACCAAAAATCCAATCTAAATGCGTTTTAGGTACGCAAAAAAATGAAGGCTCATTCATATTTTTGATTTAATCCATATTTGTAAAATGAATGTTCCCTAGAATGCTCGGGAAACGGTGCGCAGGTGGCTTTTAATTATGTTTATACTTTTTATGTAATCTTCAAAGCAGATGGCTTGTGTTTACTTTCGTATCGTAGGAATATTACAGGATATTAGTTACGTCCTAAAGAGAATGATGTTCGAGGACCTTGCGTCAAACATGGATAAGAGTTAATGAAAAATAATAAAAAATGCAGTCTCACGCGTTTAATTAAGGATATTTTGAAGCGAATGTGTGTGTTGTGTCATAAGTGAATGCTCCCTTATTCTGAATATTTACTCTAAATTCGATTATACCTCTCTCAGAATTGTAGACAGCCGTCAAAGGGTGATCGATGACTCGTCGAGCTCTAACCTTCTAGGCTAAATACTAGATGATAAGTCTTCCATAATTCTCATTGACCTGTGCTAACCCTTTTTAAATATGTATAGCCTGTTGTTTTTTGGATAATGTATTTCTGCATGTCCGATTAATATAAGGGAAAATTCTGATGAGGCATTTTGAGGAAATTGTTGGTAAATTTTGTATCACAGTCATAGTTTTTGCGTTATCTAAAGGTTTAGTTAAACAGTTTTCATCTAACAGACTTCAGGCCCAAACTTTCCAACACTTCTAATGCTTTTCGACAGGAATATTCATCAAAAGATAATTTTATCTGACTGTTTCATTCCATGTTTCTGACAGGCTTATCTCTTCTTAATAGGTGCCCAAAGACTCCACATTATCTCACCTTTGCTTCCTTCATTCTTGCGCGTCTACAACCTCCTTATCTTCTTATTTGTCCAATCGGCATGTTGTCCATTACCTAATGCCCTAAAATAACTCTACTAAAATCTTATCGAATCGTGATTCCAATTATTTCTTTACCACTTTAAGGTCGAATTCCATTGAGCTCGAGGATCAACAACAGCATCTTGAACAGCAGATCAGAGACCTCATGATGAAAGATGGTGAGTGTTGAATTTAGTGTGATCTGGGTAGGAGACCTAGTTGTAGTACCAGGAATTCTTCGACAAGTGGATTCAGTTAATAAAGAAAGTCAAACTTGTGTTCTGTGAAAGAAAATTGAATCTGGGGGATCGGAGACATACCTCATGTTGCGGGATATGCTCTAAAGAAAATTGAAAAATCGGAAACATACCTCATGGGGCCCTGACAGCCACCTAAGCTCTGGCTTCTTGAAGTACTGGACATGAAGTTTGAAAATCTAAAGGGCTTTTTTAAGAAATCGCATCTCGAGGCCGAGGGGGGCATAAACTAATTGTTCCTAACTAGAAATTGCTATTGTAAGAAGCAGCAGTTTGTGGGCGAGTCTAGGGGACCTCCCCCAGAAAATGTTGTTTTTTGAGTCTCCAGACCTCTGACTTGATCTCCAACCTTCTGGGGAATACTTAATCAGAATCTATCTCAGTGTAGTGAGGTTTAATGAGAGAAGATAGTTACTTTCTTCTAAACATGGTTATTTCGCTAATATTTATGCTCAAGTCTCAAAGTGAGTTTCACTTGGGTTAAAAAAGGCCCTGCTGAGAGTTCACCTTAGAAAGCTCTCGTAAACTTATTTTCACTTTCTCATGTTTCTTGTCATCTCAATGGCTTAGTTGGTCGAAAAACCGCTTGGCTTTACAAAATTATGTTGTCTTCTCAAAGACTAAATATCTTGTGTTTACGAGATGTTTATTGTAGAAACGGTTTTCGAGTTAATATATTATTTGCTGTAGTTATCCTGCAGAAATAACGCTAAAATTTTCTCTTAAATTTCAGTCAGCACAGACGAAGATCAAGTTAAAATTGAGCAACTGACGCGAGAACTCGTGGATATTGTCGAACAAAGAAACAAGTTGGTGGAACTTTTGGACAATGACAGGCAACGGTATATTAGTGTTTTTCAGTTTTTATCCAGTTCGTTTGCAATGTCGCCAAAAAGGCGAGGGGCAAGGCGGGTCATCGACGGGAAAGGCAGCCCAGTTTGTTCATCCTCTACGAGAGCCTGGGCTATAATCTCCACCACACAATCTATAATAGTCAATTTATTTCTATCCAGAGAACAAGAGGAAGATGAGCAATTTGAGATGATGATGGCTTCCAAAGGTAACTTCCAGGCCAGGCCTGTGGTGGTTTAAACAAAGTTTAATGTGTAAACAGGGGTGTGTGAACATCTTGCTTGTCAACAAAGCAACCCCCTATACCCAAATATTTCCCCTCAGAATTTGTTGACCAAAGGCTCTGAGTAAGTTTCATTTAATGGAGATCTTAGGTACAAATTAGTCATTTTCCCCACTATTTTGCTGGCAAGTTAGAGAGATAGTGACACATACTCCATCCCACTAATTCAACATTTATGCTTCAATGAATTAAACTTGTTTTAAACTGGGTTGACTGGGCTCTTGTGTTATTGTTTAGGATTTGTTCTACCTTCATAAGATTGATTCTATGACAAGATAGAAGTGGATGACCATGAAAGAACTATGCCCTAGAAAGAGGTTAACACCACACATGGTATTCACATGAAAATCATCTCATTACATTATGATCACAAATGTATGATTAGCCTGTAAACAGCTAAGGTATTGATCTAATGACATTCCTGTCATGTCTAAATGACATGTGATGTCCAGTTATAGACCATGTGATGGTCACATGACCTGAATAGATTTAATAGATAGGCATAATGGTATTGAAAGGAATTTGTTCAAATTTTTAAATTAGAATGCCACAAAATTGTTGGACATGATACCAAGAGAAGATCTCTTACAAACCGAAGTCAAATGCTGAATTGTTTTAAAGTAGATAATTCATTTAGCAATTGCAATTTAGTAAAAATTATTGACAATATTTTAATAGTTATTATAGTAATAAATAATTTTTTGTTCAAGAAATATATTCCACTACAATGCGATTGAATATGGCAAAAAGCTATACTCTTCTAATAATAGATCATGCATTTCCTGACCTTTCCATGTTAAAACAGGTTAAGATTTCCAACCTATAAGTTTGCATATGTTGTTTCTTGTCCTTTATTGTAATTTTTTCAAGACCAAAAGATTAAAAAATGTGCAGGGATAAAGTCAGGAGGAATATTCAAAAAGTATGGCCCACTGTGAATGGCCTAAATGTTCCATAGTTTTCCTTTGAAGCGAATATTTAGCACCATTACTTGGATTAAAATGACAGTTGCTTCTTGTCAACATCCTTTGTAGTATGTTTAATATTGAGGTTTAACATGGAACAAATCTAAAACAAAAAAAATTGAAAATTAAATGAAAAAGAGAAAGGCAAAGGCAGTACTGCACAACATTGCGACACATTATAAGGCCTAGGTGTATATGTTGCATTTTGATCACCTCAATGCAATTCATACAATAGATAATGAGATGGCAATGAAGCTTAATGAGGTTTATCAGCTCATCTACTGCTCATCGACCTGACGAAAATGTGACATATTATATAAGCCAGACCTTAGTTAGCTGCTGGTAACTTAATGGAACCCCCATCTTTTGTTAACTCACTATTATGAAGGTAAAATGCGAAAGGGGTGAAGCCTGACATAAGACTCTTCCTTCAAATAAAAAATTTATAATGTACCTGCTTAAATTTTGCTCTTACATGTTCTAATTCAGGTATTAAATCTCTTGCTGTATCACTCCAATCTTGATCAAGGAGCTTAAAAAGGCCTTCCAACTTTACTTGGACTTTGCTTCCTTCATTTTTGTACAATGCTAGCCAGGTTTGCACAAATCCTTTGTAAAATCCAATCTACATTTTTAAATTTTAGGTGAGGTTTGTTTTCGCTAAAAATACCATGCCATTATTAGCAGGTTTCACCAACGAGAAGGAAAAAAATATTGTGTTTTCCGTAACAAATTTCAATAAAAATCAAGTTGGAAAAGAATTATATTGTTTGTTTTATGTCCAATTTCACAATTAGATAATCAAGTTATCAACTGGATATAAAAATACCTCATTTTTGTTTCTCCTGGCAAATTTTTTATGCACGAAAAATCAGTTAACTTTAACTATGGATAGTTAGTGATAGAATTGGCCAATCAGAGATCTCTGACAAGGCATGCAATCATTCTTTGAATATTTTGGCAGAAAAATAATATGATTGTGCACCAGTATTTGTGGAAAAATAAATTGTTTCACAATAGATTGACAATATATCTGGTGCAAAATCAGAAGCCCCACAGCATGCACCTGACCCTGGGGTACCCCTTCTTATTACCATCTTATTACCTCATTTCCAACTTGCTTTCCCTGTAACAAGCCAGTTTCATAACCTTGCTTCCAACCTTTCACCTCCCCTTCAATGAACCCATCATTAAAACCTTGCTTTTGACAACTAAGAATTTTAATCACATAGAAGAGATTCAATATAGTTTATAATGAGGTTGTTGACCATACAGTTTACAACCCCCCTGCTGTTCATAAGGCTTCTAAATAAATTATTCAGCATTTCACCAAAGACAGCAATATTTAACCTCACACAGATACAGTTATTACACTAATAACAGTATTAAAATATATCTGCGTAATTACATTTCTCTTACTTCTCTTCAAGGAAAACAACAGAGTCAAATAAATCGTCTTGAAAAGAACTCATACCATTAACACCAGCTTTTACCACTGCCTTTTATATTGCCTTTTATATAACTCAGTGCTCTTTAGTCTTTATACTTGTTGGATAATTAGGTATAAATATGGGGGTAACATTAGGTTTATTGTGGATATTTGTGACCGAAAGTAAAAACCAAAATGGAGCCTTGTTGTGCAAAAGTCTAGTTTGGTCTATTTTTCCACTTTTTTTCGGCCACAAACAACTTGTAGCTTCAAAATGGACAGCGACGGATTGCCCATAATGGGCCCAGCAATTGACCTGACGAAGGTAGGATTGTTGTGGCATTTCACAAATAGAAATTGAAAATGTATACACAGATATACAGGCAGAGGCAGCTTACCGTACTAGTATAGAAATAAGAAATTCTAATACCTTTTTAAAATAGGTTGGTTCGATACAGCAAAAAAGAACAATTGCATTTCTGAACCACTTTATATCACATACTGTCAACTTTTTAAACAGATTTTCCTGTGTATGTGAAGAGGTAAGAACTATAAGAATTACGTCTTTTAAATCTATTATGTAGACTGACAGGACTGTGAATGTCAGGAATCAGCATCAGGGTAATAATCCTCTGGGATAATCCACATGGGAATCCAGAAATCCTGGCTTCCAGTTTGTACTGGCTTTGTATTTTATTACAACAGTCCAAGGTAGTGAAGGACCAATCAGAATCATTTCTGATACCAATGATCCCAGAGCCTTTGTTTCCTGTCAGAGGAAATTGCAGGCTTGGGGAACGAGATTAATAGTTGACACTGTGTTTGTTGCAGAGTTAGATTAATCCCTGGTTCACACATATTATGCACATATCACACTAGGCTATGCCTAAGATCTAAAGTTGCAATGTTTGTTTGCCATTAGCATACTGGTCAATGCAAACATTGTCAGCTTAGAAAAGGTCCTACACAAATATAGAAACATCCTTCAATGGGTGATTCTCTGGTCACACATGTGACATCGCTATTCTATTTTGTCACACACAAAATGTGAAGCCTAAAAAAGCAGCAATGTAATGTGTGTGACTGAGAAAAATCAACCCAATGATCAAAGCATCACAACTACAGTACACAGTACTGACCTTTATAAGTTAAATATATTGACCCCTGAACTATACCAATTTGACGGTTAATTGTACATTTAAATCAGTAAATTTTCTGTTTAGAAATTATCTGATCTTTCAAACAGACTTCAAAGAGTTGATGTCACAATGAGCATTTTAGAGGCAAAGGTATATTCTTTATTCTGTTCCATCAAACTATAGACCTTTCCCATTTTAGCTTTCAAGCGCAATGTGTGACTGTAGTTGATTATCAAGATCAATTTGAGTTGTGATTTCGCCAATGTTTAGTTTAACAAAGAAGCAAAAAGAATCGGCAAGGTTTTCTTACAAACAAAATCACTTCTAAGCAAGCGATATCGCAACTCAAAGTTGCCTGATAATCAACTACCATCATGCATCACTTATGCGCACTTGAAAGCTAAAAGGGGAAAGGTCTATTGATTCATGATTCACAGAGGATTTATTTTTCACAAAAAACATCAAATTTCAAACCGGGTGATTATAAATCATGATCAGTTTCTTCATAGTGCAGACAAAAAATATGAAAATAAAAGACCTTTTGATACCCCGGACCATGTTCCAAACTTTGTATAATGGTATTTTAAGATGTTTTGAAACTAAAACATTGATACAATTTCGTCTGGTTGTTCACAAATGAGAGACCTGTACACAACTATTGCAATTACAAATAAATTTTTCTGGCATTCTGTAAGGCAAAATAAAATACTTAATTAAACAGGTTATTTTGCAATGATTCTGAAGCTAACATTCTTCATTGTTTTTACAATCACCCACCCCCCCCTCCCCCTCCCTACATAAAGGAAAATGCAAAAACAGACAAATCTTCAAACAATCTTTAACAGCTCGCATCAATTCCTGGTTTGGAAAATGTTACAGTTTCAGAATCCCCATCTGCTGGACCAACTGCGAGTGAAACTCCTGCTACAACAACACCATCAACAAATGGTGAAGAAGCTAATGTTGCAACTGTATGTACAATTTGTTATAGTTCGAATAATGGTTTTAAAATATGAACAGTGTTGATATTGTTAAATCCTTTATATATATATATATATATATATATATATTAATATATATATTAATATATATATATATATATATATATATATATATAGAATTATAGTAATTTCGAAATCTGATAGCATAATACAAATTTTATGCTGTGTATTTCAAATCAAGATCGATTCATCTTCAGCAGAGTGGTTTACATTTACAAGATTTGCATAACTATAAAGCACCTCTTGTAAACATAAACCATTCTGCTGAAGATGAATCGATCTTGATTTGAAATACGCAGCATAAAATTTGTATTATGCTATCATTTTTCAGAATTACTTTAATTATATATGTACCAAAACTATCAGCTGGTAAAGGGTTCCTTATACATATATTTATCAGAATAATGAAGAAGCACCACCTCCCATTGAAGAGGAACCTGCTCAACCAGGTATTTAAAAACTAAATTTGCAATGACAGGCAGCTCCATGCTTTATATTCTACATATTTACACCACTAAAAACACGCAGGTTTTACCTGGTTGTTGAAAAGTTCATTTAATTACATGCAAGCACTCACAATGAGCTTGCCATACCTAATTTTAGTGTGCAGTGCCAGTGATAACCAATTTGTGCAGTGATAACCAGTTTGTGCAGTGATAACCAGTTTGTGCAGTGATAACCAGTTTGTGCAGTGATAAAAGTAGAATGTGCAGTGATAAAATGAGAAATGTCATTTTCTGCAGGAGAGCCGAAGTCGCATTATTCACATGTTTTGGGTTTTACTTCTGACATCATTTGATTTGTGTTCAAATATGGTTTGAAAGCAGAAACTACAATACCCAATCCATTAGCGCTAAAATGATTGTTCTGCTTTTTAGTCATGACCGTCGCGAAAGATCCACGATATGCAAAATATTTTCAAATGTTAAAAGTGGTAGGCATTATATTTTTACATAGCAATCCACATAACCTGTAGCAGTTATAACCTAACAATCAACCATCTTTAGGGTGTACCATTAGCAGCACTCCGGCCAAAGGTCATAGCTGATGGATTAGATCCAGATTTACTTGAGTAAGTACTATATTTAACCCTACATAACAACGTAAATATACATATTTATATTAGAAATGGGTAGATGATTAGTGAATCTCATTCATTTAATGCTGGAATCAAAAGAGAGAAGAGTGTATAAATTAAATTATTGCCTTTCCTTGTTTGAGGAAATTGAATATTCAACGAAAATGTTTTGCAATTGGGGAGTTTTTTTAAGAATAAGTCTCAAAAAGTTGTAGATAGATCTGTTTCTATTTATCCTTTAAGGACCCCTGATGCCCCAGCTCCGGGTGGTGGCCAGGTTTCTAAAGATAGTGATGACGATGATGATGAAATTTCAAGTGCTTCATCCTTCAGTGACGATGATGATTAAAAAAACTGAATTGAGACATTTACACCAAAATTTCAAATTCCAATATGACATATGCAAGATCCAATAGGAGATTAATTAAAGAGCAGCAGATGGTAGTTACCCTATGAGCACACACACCCCTAGCTTAGACCAGGTGGGTGCAAATATTAGAATCAATTTAAATTCGGGGAAATAAGTTCACAATGGACTACTACTCCTGAATGAATTTAAAACCTTACAAAAGGGTCGGTCTTTCTATGTATAGCATCATTTTATTTTCACAATTTTTTGAACAAACAGTATGCATGGCAGCTAGCCTGCACCCTACCTACAGAACCATACTGGGTATTTGCCACCACATGCAAGCTCAACATTATATCCCTAAAGCTAATGACTGCAGATTGACCACCATCTCTGCTCAAAATGTGTATTATAAAATTTTTCATGATGATGAAGACTAGAAACATGTAAAATTACATTTTCATGTCTCTGTATCCGAATGATTAACAGAATTTGCCTGCGATATCCACCATATGGACTGCCTTGCTATCAGTATGTTGTTTTGTAAGTACTAATTACTAAACTAATGTTAATCTTTCTTATAGTTAACAAATTTATTTGTCAAAGAAAACTCTAGAGGCTGATGGTAAAAATATGATTAGCCCAAATCTTTATTTAACCCATGCATTGTTGATTACTGTCAACTACACAGTACGATTATCTTAATTGTTATATACAATTTTCACCCAAATTTTATAAACTAAAAAACGGCTTTATCGTTTGTGGATAAGACAACTAGTTCTTCATCAGCCTGCGTTTGTACTACACTAACAAACATTTCAGAATTTGCTTCAGAATTTGTCTTTGGAGTCGAGGCCTGAGGCTGAGCCGTTTCCTGATTTGTACTTGTCTCATTGTTTGTATCAGCAGTGTGTTCGTTCAAAACCTCGATTTCATCGTCGCTGTAGTTTCCCGAATGTGATGGGCCTCCGCTATCTGTTTGTTCAGTCGAGTTATTAATCAACACAGGTTTTCCTAAAAGAAATCGATTGTAGCTGGCATTTTTTAGGAATCACTGTTATGTGGGGAATTCATGGAGCGAGTTAATTAAGGTTTGTTCAAATCATAGGTTCAAATACAGTTCAGTTTACTAAAACACACGAATGTTTAATGTTTCGTTACCAACTATTATAATGGCCTCCTTTAATAATACTACAAGTCTACAACATCTATGTGAAGTAGCCCACGGCATTACCATTATCACCAACATAATTCCCAACCTACTCCTGGCCCTAACCATACATTATTATCAACTACCATAGTAACAACTATTTATCCCCTGACCATCACCAATATCACCAGAACACTGTCGCCTGACCATTCACATCGCCACAGTATTCACCACAACAATCACTATTGTCACTCAGTGGTGTCACCACCTCATCGTCACCATGGCAACCATACCTGGGAAATGACGTTTCTCGTTCTTTTCCACAGGCTTGCCCGTCAATATCTCCTTCACTTCATCCGGAAGATGTCGAACGTCTTTCAACTGTACGCATAGTTTCTCTGCTTCAATGAGCAACTTTTCAAGGTTGATTTTCATTGATAATTCGTTGATGTGCTAAATGACGTAACATCCGTTAGTCGGGGGAACGATTTGGAACCAAAACGTTTTCCATCATAGTAATTTAAACATGCAGAAGCGTAAAGCAGTTGAGTTTTACCTTCAGAATTTCATTGAACCCATGCTGACGTTCGATAATCACGTCTTTTTGCATTTTCAAAATAGCCAGACAAAGAAATAGATGGAAATTCGGAGAAAGATCTTGCGTCCATAGCATCTGAAATAAAATTGAATTTATATTTTTGACCCGAGAGCCGTGTCTGAAACCCTGTTCCAGCTCAAATTTTACTTATTAAAGTCTTAATTACATTGCTTGAGAAGTCATATATAAAGTATGAATTGTGGTAATTCTGTATTTTTGGCAATCAATAGTCTTGATGTACATTGTCGTTATGGTTTTAAATATAAATATATGAAGATTGAATTGTTTTAAGAACAGGTCTCTACTCACCTCCCACAGTCTCATCACATCATCAAAAACAAATTCTCTTTTAAATAGGATTAAGAGCCAACGAAAGCAAAAATACAGATTCGCTGATTCGTTTTTTTCTAAAAAGCAAATAAATTTCACACACGTTTCTCACCATTGTATATGGATCAATTCATGGCATAAATCCTTCAAAAAAAATCACAGTCATCAAGTAGAAGGTAACATTTGGATAATCCGCGTTACAGCATTACAAGACCACGGAAGGTTGTAATATCACTGAATGGTTTCTAATAGTGATAGGTAAGGTTTAAAATGTGCAAATATTAATCTCAACTCATCCAAAAAAACTATGAAATTTTCAATCCTATATGCATACCGAAGTGGTGATAGAGTCTTGGGAAAACATATTGCAGAAGTGTTTTCAGATTATCCAGTTGTTTATGTATAGCTGCTTGATTCATCTCGAAGTTGTCTGCCTGTATTGAAAGTGAATTTTCTCAAACAATTGCATAATGTAGTTTCCTCATACAACCAATAACTACTAGTACCACCTACCACCATTTCCATGAAACCAACAAAACACCAAAACGCATCTGCCTCGTCGTCCATCACAAACAAAATTGGAGACAGCAGATCACTCATTCCTTGAACATAACCTTTTATATGAACAAAAACATTGATTGATTTATCACTACGTATATACTTGACAGCTCCATCAAGTTATATTAACTCCATGGGTTACTGGGGAAATCACCTCGTCCTGTCCTCCAAAAAGAGAATCCAGGCATATAGGGGTCAATTCAGTGGCGTAACGCAACCGCTGGGGGCCCTCCGTCAACCAGCCATTTGAGGCCCCCCTTTGCTCCACTAGAAATAGGCTGAATGATGGTATTTATATATCCGGTACCCCTAAAGTTTCGGGGGGGGGGCGTCACTTGACACCCTGCCGTACTGACAGCCCCCAGTTACGCCACTGGGGGTTATCTTCATCACTTACCAATGTTGTTACATTTTGAACTAAAGACCCAAGAGTTAGAAAATTTACACTTAACACTTACCTAAGTCAAAATTATACATACAGTAGGTCATAAGAATATCATATAGCTTCTTAGGGTTAGTGTTTGTTGGCTCATCGCAATAGAAAGGATGTTTACGATCTGTTCTGATCACATCTTTATCTGTTAATGTTAAGAATAGGTACATCAGGGTTTAGCCAGAGTGTGTTGGAATGTGGATTACCCGCAAATCAGGTAATTTCACTAATTTGATCTTTGAAATTGAGTACTGCACATGCAGTAAGGTTTTTCTTTGCCTACATACCAACAAGATGCTTTCGCTCTCGTAACACCGAGAAATTCTTTTCTTGTTGAGGAGTAATAGTTTGCCATTGTTGTTTCATTGTAACGTACTCATTCCTTGAAGAAAAATTTGTGTGTAATCTTAATGGTATCTTGTCTCCCACACTACCGAAAAATGAGGCTTTTCTTTGGTTCAAAGTTCAAATAGTAAATAGCCTAACTGGGACGCCGGAACGATGTGAGGGCAAGGGGGAAAGTTTTGGTGAAAGGGCACTCCTGTAGCGGCGCATTAATAAAGAATGTTTGCAAAACATCGTCAGTTGAACTTCGTATCGTCGTGATTTCTCTTTCCAAGATAATTTATGTGCCTAGACGATTGTGTTATTCTTGATGCTCGTTTGTGGCACGGCTACTTCGGATATAGAATGTAATTAATCTTTTAAAATGAAAGGGCATTTTTGCTCCCCTTGCCCCTGCTGGTAAAAGGCAAGGGGGGCAGTTGCTGCTGCTGCCCCCCCCCCCTGTTCCGGCATCCCTGAGCCTAAGTTGTTATACCAGGCAACTTTTGCCGCCAATTGCACACAGAGCCACGTAAGGCACACTGGCAAAAAGTAATAAGAGTATCAAGAATAGCTTTTTTTTCCAAAGCCAAATCAATGTTCATTGTCTCTATACCATTTTCGCTTTCTTGTCTGTATGCGTTCTTTATAGGACTGATCATAATCGTAAAATCCCAACAAGAATTTCCACAATTCTTTACGAAGGTTATGTTCTATGCCCTGGAGAGCAAAATTGTTATTATTCATGGTTTAGATCATTCTGTGTCAGCCGGTCTTCACAAGTGAAAGCAACAATCATTATTAGCATCAGAGTAAAAATCCATATCTCAAGGAAGGATAAACCAATTGATTGCATAATTCGTCATTTAATTACCTTCCTGGTAATAGATAGTATTCACCTACCCCTCTATGTATAAGTTTTTTTAGTCTCTGGCTGTTCTCAACCTTTCCTTCGCTATTGATAAAACTCATCCACTCATTCATACTAATAGCCTCACCAGGTACAATATCAGGTGCAAGGCCAAGGTCTGGCTGCAAAAAAATTAAAAGAAATTACTCCAAAACAAAGTTCTGTTGTTTTTAAACAAATGTTTAAATGCAATCATTAATTGTTCTACAGCAACGGTTCGGATTGGTTCCCTAATGTAAATCAGTGCCTAATGGGCATATCAGTCCCACCTGAATGTCAGGTAACAGATTTTCAAATCCATTTTCTAGGGATTGAAGACTGTCATAATTTTGTTCATTGGTGGTAGTAGGTGGGTGTTCTTCCTTTTTCTCTGGTTTTGGGGAAGCCTCGGGGGCATTTGACCATGCATCTCGGACAAGTTTGGTCACTTTGGAGAATGCCCCTAAACCTTCAACATAGGCATTGCCTATGACTCGCTAAAAAAGAATCATGTTTTTGCTAAGAAACGAATAAATTAATTACATGGTGATTATGATAATATTCATATGTTTGTTTGGAAAGATAAATCTTTTTAGATAGTATATCTTAAAAATTGCAACAGTTTTAAAACTTACAGAAAGAATGTCTGTGCTATCTGAAGTTCCAAACAACTGAAGATGGTTCAAAGATTTCCGTAAAGCATGATCATGTTCATTACAAACAATAAACAATTTTGGGTTGTTTGGAGACCTACAAAACAGGTATTCGTTTATGACTTCATAAGGGTACCTAAGTTTACCTTTTTCAATCAGTTCTGAACATGGTTTTTACTGGAAAAACATTCTCACGACTAAGAACAGACTAGAGAGTTTTTCTTGTGTTGAAACCCTTCTGGCAGAGTGCTCAGAGACAAAGGAATTAATTTTATATCTGTTCTAAATATTAATTATACTTTTTCCTTTGGCTGTAACCTATAAATATTTATGTTATAAATATTTTTGTTCTTACTTTGCCAACCATATATATCTATTTAAATGTTGAATGAACTCCCTTGTGCCACCACTATGGAAATGTAAAGCTGGAAGTGTTCTTCCATCCTTCAAGATAAACACCAGATAATGCCAGTGGAATTTTGAGTCCGATCGACGGATTGAATTAAGCTTATTTGTCTCAAAGGACAATGTGTATTTGTCCACAATATCTTGAGTCTTAGATTTTGTGTCAGCTAGTTGCTGGGTTTGGTCTAGAAAATCGATACATACTTGATTGTGATTCATGCTGATTGGTGATTATATTAATTAAGGATAGCAGAATAGCCGTTATGTGAAGGAAAATCAGTTTAATGGTAATAATCATGGTGAAGATAAAAGTTATGATAAATGTAATGAATAATTGATGATCATGATTATGTTTAGTATGTAACAATGATGGTGCTGTAGTATTGATGATCATGGTAATGAAAAAAGGTATTTCTATACTATCACTATAAATTTGGGGATACCAGATATCATAATAATGATGATAAAGGTGATCAATGGTCACAGGCTGGTGGGATAATTTTAAAGATTATAATGCCATCTATGTTGGATACCATGTCATGGAAAACATGAAATCAAGGGGATGATGGTGATAATGAAATTGAAAACAATAATGATAGTTTTCTAAATAAGTATAGCATTACACTTATAACCATATACCCTCTGGTTTGGTGCTATGTGATACAATGCTCCACTCAGCATCATTGTTTATATCATACTCTTCACAAAAGGCTTCCGTTGATGCTGGGATCCAATTCACAAAACTTGAGTCATCCTATTTGAACACAATAGTCAATACATATGTCTTCAAATCCAGCTGCTGAATTTTGTCATTGAAGGTTTTTATGCCTAATCTTGTCAACTTGTTGATCTAATACTATGTTTACACAATTGATTATCTACTGCTAAATTTGTTTTTGAATTACAACTGAAAATTATGTAAGATATTAAAGACAATTTCTAAATGGAAAAATGGAGGAACTTTAAAGGCAGGGGCATATTATTAAATTGAGACAATGGTTTTATCATTGAACATGCATCCAAAAATATGACTTATTTTTAGCCTTTCAACTGGTCTTCAGTTTATGTATTATATGGTGTACATTTCATGATATTTGATCTCTACCAAGAAATTCCGAACGCAAGCAATTAATATCCAAATTATACTGGGAATTATTTGATCATCAAACGCTTTTTAAGAACACAACAGGTGCATAAATTTCTAAGTGAACTATGGATACCTATAACCCACTATACTAGCACAAGAAGGATACCTACCTTTACTATAATAGAAATTTGTCCACGTATTATATTCGCTGAATAATTACTTGCTACTGAAGTTGATGTATGTACAAAAACGTCAGCTTGTTCATACACAACCTGAGTGATATACAGAAATACAACATCACAAGATGAATTTTCTCTTCCAAACAATGGTAATGATTCAAAATTATAACCTAATAAATTTCTAGACCTTGGTAGTGGCGATTTTTGGTGAATTTTCAATATCTTCGCATTCCGACGACTCAGCCATCAGTCTATTATCTTGCGGGACAATTTCTGTTTGTTGTTTTTTGCTAATGACCGTGGAACGTTTCAAAGTGAAGGATTGGGCCTAGACTTAAGATTGCTGACTCAACATTACGTCATTATGCACTTTTAGATAATATAATATTGCGTCTTTTTAAAAACTGTTTTTTAAACCTCCTAGCTACCAAAGTGCTTTTCTTCTACTCTTTTTATGTTCCAAAATGTTTTGCTAAATTTTGAAAATAATAACTAAATTAAAGGCAAATTTTGTTGCAAGGTTTAGACTTAGGGTTGCCCTAAGTCTAAAAGACCCAAATCTAAGTCCATATATCCCTATATTCCTGTATATAGTGTGCAGGCTAGCCTACCATATTCCATAGGCTAGTCGTTTTATAGTGTTCACTTTCTAGAATCTAGACGCCTGACTGTAATATAGGAATATAGGAATATATAGGTAATATGATGATGTCTTCATGATACCAAAAATAATCCTAAACACCCACGCCTACCCCCTAATATCCTGCTTCTTTTGGGCATCTGAGACATTACAAAACAGAATAATATGGCTCTTCGAAGGAGTGTGGTTTCTCCATGAAAATGTCTTTCTTTTGTTAACGTTTTACTCGATTTCGCTACAGACACTCCTATGGCAGGACACTGGGATTCTTATCTACGTGACAAGTTCGCCTTAAGAAGGGTAGGTTTTGGATACACTAATATTTTTAACAATTATACACTTTTATAAAAAAATTTCCAAAAGTCTTTGTCTTTTATAAATTATAGCTTGCTTATTCCAATAATTGCAGTATCCAAATGCAGCTCAAGCTCTCAGAGATGCCAATAGTGCCTTAAAACAATATCAAACGCTGAAGCCTAACGTGAAACATTTCGGTAAGTTAAAAACTTAAAGAGATTCCATGAACTTAAAAGAGATTCCAGGAAAACACTGCTTTCATCTGTTAAACAGTACAGATCGTGACCTATAGGGGAGATTATTTATATGCTTTTTAAATAGTGAAATAAAACATTCAAATTACACCATTGGCTACATGGAGATTACTTGGATAATAATTTAACAATGGTGGTAAACTCTGTTGACCCTGTTCTCCAGGAACATTCCAAGAGGAAATGGCCAAGCCAGGGCTCAAATTGCAATAGCCCTGGGGCCGGTTGTATCAAGCCCGTTTAGCTTAAACGGTGGATAAGTCAAAATTAAATAACACTTCTACATCTCTCTTGAGTGAGTCAACCAACCAGTTGTAAACAGTATCTTTGTATTAAGGTTAAAAACATTTAGTTTGCTTGTTGAATAAAACGATAGCCTGGCTTTCTATTTTGAACTTAACCACCATTTAAGCTAAACGGCCTTGATACAACCGGCCCCAGAACATCCCCTAGTATTCCTGACCTTTCCTGACTTAGTATTGGGTTTACCTAGTATTGGGACTGGTACAGTGATTTTTGACATCAAACTCTCGAACTTTCAAACTTTTGATAGTTTTTAAAGTGTGAATGTGCTCAATTAATGTTTAAGTTGAAGGAGCCTTAGAAAGAGTTTCTGAATACTTTGAATATTTTTTTTAACCTTGTAGTTTCTCCTGAGGGTTGGAATAAGGAGCTAGTTTGTCTTGAAGGGACAATACCTGTAAATTATCGAGGTATTTTTAAAGGCATACAGTATATAAATTTGGGTAGAAATATGGGTGCTCTTGCAATGATTTTGGAGTTACAGGAATTCCTAAGTTACAGCAAGTGGATTAAAATGTGATGTATTGTCTGAATGCCAACTCCATTACAGTTTTTCAGCCTTTGAATAGCATAACTAGATTATGAATTGAGTCTGTGCTAAGAAAATTTGAAACATGTGAAATTTGGTCAACTTTATATCAACATGCCTCCCATTGTTATGAGTAATTATTCTTTTGATATATGCATAGAGTTCCTGTAAAAAGATATCTTTATTATCCTTAAGGTACCAACTATAACATTCCAATATGTATATGGCTCCAAGAGAAACATCCATTTATGCCCCCACTTGTATATGTTGTTCCCACTGCTGAAATGGAAATAAAATCAGGGCGTCATGTGGACAATAATGGCAGAGTTTACCTACCATTTTTGACAGACTGGAAGCATGTATGTGTGTAAATTATAGACTGATAATCACCATAATATTTGCTACTATCAATTTTGCTGTTCACTAGATTAACCATCATTTGAACACTCTATGTGCTCTGGAAGTTGCTTATTAAAGTGACTTTGAGAGTTTGTGTTGTGATAATGCTGTGTTCAGGAGCCTTATGTTTGTAAGAAAACCTCGCTGATTTTTTGCCACTTTGCTAAACAAAATTTCTCCTGAACATAACGCAGTGAGTACCCAAATTGACTTTGATAATCAATCACAAATTGCACCTGAAAGGTAGGAGGGTGTTCTCTCAGGTAGAGTGAATATTTGCTATGAAGGTTGTTGTCATAGTACAAATGTAGCTTTCATTTGTTTGAACTGGTAAACATGTAATACTTGGTCACAATTATTATCATTGCAATAAACATTCATCACCACAACTGCCTTTATCTCTTATGGTATTCTTCTTAAATTTCCAGCCACAATCAGATCTTCTTGGATTGATCCAAGTTCTATGCCTTATCTTTGCTGAACAACCTCCGGTCTTTGCTCGCAGAGCAGTCCCTACACCACAAACAAACCATCCTCCCCCCAGCCATCACCCTCGCCCAACTGGATATTCAGGTTATCCAGCCACTCCAAACCCCCAAATGCCCGCATACCCAAACCCCCAAATGCCCCCAGGATTTTATCAAACTGGCCATTCTCAGATGCCCATGCCTGCAATGCCTCAAGGTATGATAGCATGTGCTTGTATCTATAACTATTATTGTTTTTCATGGTACAGTAACATTCCTCTTAATAGTGATATGAAGTTTTCTTCTTAACTAAAGTTTCATTATTGAATATGACATTTTGCAACATCAACAACATTCTTTTATTAAGTTTTCAATCGAGAGATTGCGTTCTGTTACAAATCAGAATTCAATAATAATAACTGTAATACAAACTTTAACAGGATAGAGAGAAAGAAGTATCATCGGTACTCAAACATCCCTAGGGTGTTCATAATGTATGTTCATATTATACTAGAACCCCCCAAGCACCACAAACTTTCCTTTATTTTTATTAGGCTTAGAAATTATTATTACTATTCATCACAATATTAAATTTCCATGACAAGTAATGTCAGCTTCAAATTAGTTAGATAAGTTTTAATAATATATGACATATAAACTGTAAACCGACATAGTATACATAATATTTCTCTTCAGGCCCAACACAACAAAACCCGCCCTACCCAATTACAACCAATCCAAACCAACCCACGGATCGCCCCCCACCGCCGTCAAGACCTCCACCACCGTCACGACCCCAACCTCAACATCGCCCAGTCCAACCGTATTCCCCGCAAAGCGGTTTTCCAATGCCTGGTGTGACACAGTCAAGTAACCCCCCCTACTCAAGCACCCAAAATTACCAACCAAAAATCACGACAGCCACTGAACTGTCGAGAAATACTCAGAGTAGTTTTAAGATTACCCCTGAAATGATGAAAGCTAGTCTCAAGAGTGGAGTGGAGGACAAGATTAGGAGAAGACTGAATGAAATTTTCTTCCAAGCACAGGTAACAGGCAATGCATATTGTACACCCTTCTCCGTTCTCGTCTACAAAATGTAAACGCGAGCAGATTGTACTCAATTACCAAAGCCAGGGGCCAGTTGTATAAAACTCTTTAACTACATAATATACAGGGGCCAGTTGTATAAAACTCTTTAACTACATTTTGCATAGTTAAATCGTAGTTAACTCAGAAATATGTACAAGACTCTGATTGGCCAATTCGGTCCTTAACTATACCGTTAGTAAACTAGTTAACAAAAGTTAACTAGTCTTTTATATACAACTGGCTCCAGATCAGTTGCGTAGCCAGCCTGACAACATGGTCCTGCTATGTAGTATATTTATTTCTTCAGAAATTGATTTTTTTCATAGGCTTGAATACCAAAATATTAGCATAGCATAACTAAATCGTCAGGCTGGCTACGGATACAGATTCATTCTACAATCCTGGGCATAATTGATGTGGGCAGCACGATTTATGAGCAATATTTCAGACAGGGACATAGCCAGACCTTAAAGAGGGTGAGGGGAGCCGTGAGGCAAGAGTTTCAGCCCGTCTAACCGGGCCGGAAGTATTTTTCAATTACATGGAAAGTTTCAGCCCGGGCTGAGTTTATGACACGTGAGAATTATTTTAAGACCAGGCTGAAATATCAGGTCTGCCTGAGTTTGGCCTATTTCGATTCTTTGAGCGCTTTAAAATCCTGAATGACAATAACTTGACCTTTAAGGGATTGTGTTTGCACATAAAAATGATACAAACAAATGAAAAAGCTTTGTCAAGGCGACTTTTACTGCCCAAGTCGAATTTTTTTACGATTACATGACAACAACACTAAGTTTCAGCCCGGGCAGAATAAAACAAGTATACTAGAAAGACTGAGTAGATTTAATTCTTTTTAATTAATTAAATTATTTATTGCCAATAAATTTTTAAAAGAGGGGAGCCACGACTCCCCCCTGGCTTTGTCCCTGATTTCAGCTAAATCCTGAAAATCTGGCGTGTGTATGCAGATCCCCCACTCCTCCGTCTCAATTTTGGTTCCTATAGTGTACTCATCTCTCAATTGTGCCAAAGATCAGCAACATCAACATTGTTTGGGGGGAGAGGGTGTGATTTATGACCATGAAACTTTATTTTCTGCAGTTAAAGTACTAAAGTCTGCATCTTAAAGTTCTTTCATTCTGCATATTTGATTCCTGCCTAGACGGGAAAAAGAGTGCAGAGATGAATCCAAACCACACGCTTGACGTCATGTTTTTCTGCAGAAATCTTACATGCATGCTCATGAGGCAAAGTTCTGTGAAGGTCCTCCTATAGTCGGGACAGATCCCAGCAAGAGATGATGTTTCTAATACCAACGGGATTTAGGCTACTCTCCAATCTCCATGCATGTTGATTTACCCGAGCTTTTTTAGACGAATTTGCCTTTTTAAATTCCTAGGCCCGATAACAAAATAATTTTTAAGCTCACTAAAAACGAAACACGAGTATGTATTTGACCCGTAATTTGACACAAAAACAAGGCTATTGGGTAAAATTTAAATAAATGGTGAGATCTGTTTTGGACTTCAAGTTCCGGTTGAAAATCAACTTACAATGTTGAAAATGTCTTATATAAAATCACCTTTCGCTATTGAAAAATAATATGTCCTAAAAGTTAAATAAACACTATATATCATTATAAACAGACCCTTCCTGTTTAATTCCACTAAAACTCACACATTTTGCATTGAGAGGTTGGAGATTCAAGATTCGCCGATAATCAACTCTTTCGCAAATTAATCAAGCTGTTAAAATATTGTCATCCACCGCCTGTGAGAACATTATGGAACCGCAGGATGATACCTTACGATGTTTGAACTAAATTGCGGGGGGTGACTAGAAAAAAGTACAGCTCCTGTATAAGGAGTATATTACATCATGAGTCTAGTTTTTTGCAATTATATAAGGAAGAAGGTACTAACAAATTAAGTTCGCTTGCGTATTTTTATAAGCAGTCTCGACTTCTGTGCCACCTGTCAGTCAAATTTGTGTTTGAGGCTCAAAAACAAAGCTTACGCAATCGTTAACACAGTTTGTTTAAGAAACACAGCATTTGCATTAAAATGTGTGCAAATTAATTATTTGAAAGGAAGGGTTGTATTGTAGCCCAGCATGCATGTGCATCATATAACATTCAGTGTGTTATAGTGTCTCTCAATCAGAGCAAATTCTCCTGAGAAGCACCTAGAGTCGCGAAGTTGTGTTTTTAAGTCACTTATAATAGCCAGAATGCTGTTCATAATAAGTATGTTTGTATAGTCATAAAAATAGGTGCATTTTTATGACTATACAAACATACTTATCATGAACTGCATTCTGGCCATTAAGTGTCTTGAGAACACAACTTCGCAACTCTAGGTGCTTCTCAGGAGATTTGCTCTGATTGAGAGATTCACTGGGCAAGCAAAGTCATACCTGATTGGAAACCGCCATTTCGAATTTTGTTTAAAAAATTGTAAATTTCCTTGTAGTTTATACTCACAATTTGGATTTACTTGTTCGAAAACTAACAAAAACGACAAAACTCTAAGGGCATCACTTATCATATATATCTTAATGTGCACTTCCTTCGTTTTGCATATATATATGGTTTTTCACAGCAACGGAGTTTTCAGGGAATTTTAACAATTTATTTTATCGTATTTGAACAGTGATGTAAATTATCTCTCATTTTGCTAAATCATTAGGCAGAAATGGATGCACTGAAAAAGACTGAACTGGAGTTGAATGAAGGCAAGAAAAAACTAGAAGATATGATCAAACAAATTGAAGTTGAAGAGGTAAAAAGTGATTCAAGCAACTTCGTTAACTTTATAGTTCGCATCCGAAATATTTGCTCTTTTTTAAATGGAAACAGTAAAGTTGGATTAATTTATTACTGCAGTAAAAATTCAGAACAAAATATGTAATTTTCTAACCAAGACTAGTGGAAATCCAAGGAAGGAATCCAAGGATCAAATTTAATTATGAATTTATGTCATTCTCGAAACATTTATCGTGGATATAGCTCACGTATAACCCAATTTACATTACGTTTCATGCAGGCTGAAGTGACCAAAGATATTGGAATCTTAACACAGAAAAATAAGGAAATTGAGGAAACAGTAGCAACATTGCAAGAACAGTCTGATAAAATGAATATCGACGAAGCCGTTGTTCCAACAACACCTTTGTATAATCAGTAAGTCTTTGATTGATTTGTCATTTTGTGCACTATTGCATGTCGATGTTATCAAGATAAGCAAAGGTTTTCAAGATAAGCAATGTATAATTTGTATTGAAATATTTTCGCTCGTTGGAAATACGATAAGTAGTAAATTCCTCTGCCCTGGTGTATCACCGGGTGTAACCTGCCTTTGTGTATTAACAAGAGTCAAGACAATAGAAGACGATATCATAGTTGGCTAGAAAACGATATCAAAATTATTATTGTTAATATAGATCAGACTCCTATACCTAGCTCATCTAGATAGTTCGTTTCTGCGGATGCCTTGCATGGACCACGACTCATGCGTTGGATCTGGAAAATATTACTAGTAACCCAAAATATTATCAAAATATTATTAGTAACCCAACTGTTGCCTTTTTGGCACAGCCTGTTTTTCGGCCAAACCATAACCCTCGTTAGTCTGTGAACACAACCTTTGTACCATCAATTGATAAATCACCTTGTTTATCACTATTACTATTTTTTGTAGAATTCTGGATTTATACGCCGAAGAAAACTCGTTAGACGACACAATGTATTACTTAGGCGAAGCTTTAAGACGCGAGAAAATTGATTTAGACGTGTTTTTGAAGGTATGTGTTGTGTATGGTTATAGTCTATGACTATATTCACACAGTAACGTTTTCATTTCTGTTGTCATGGTACTTTAGAAGTTGGAGATAATAATTCGATATATTGAGTTGTGCGAGGGCGTCTAAACCATAGAGAGAACATTTTAAAAACCCTCGAAAACGACGCTCGTGTGAACGTTATGACGTAGCCAGGCTAAGCCTAACTTAGCTTGCCACCCTTATCTCATTTGTAATTTGTAAAAGCCAGACAACTACAATCTACATGGTCCGTGCCATCTGCTCTGAATGTCGTTCAAAGCAAATTTTCAAACGAGTAAAAAAAACAACCTTTTTCTAACATTTTTAGCATGTGCGTTCTCTATCTCGCAAACAATTCATGTCTCGTGCTCTACTGCAGAAAGCCAGAAAAAGAGCTGGACTTAGCGAACTTTGAGTACGTCGTAATTGAAAGGTACTAACTGCTGAATATGCGTGCATATCAACTCTAAACATTTATAAATCGTATCCAGTTGTAAAATTTAGAGACTTTTTCTATTAGTATTGGCAAGTGATTATCTATGGAATGTCTGGCCTAGGTTTAACAAAACAGAAGACAGATTTTTCACAACGTTTTATGTGCATATATATTCACCTAATGATATTGGTATATAACAGTGTTAAATTATCAGTAATATGTGAGAAATGTATCGAAAATATATACCACACAATATCAAGGTTTCATCTATTTTATTTTAAAATACAATATAGTTCACAATATATCATTTTCCATCTAGTATATACAATATATCAATTCTACCCTTTATATATATATTATCAAAATAAATTAAGCAAATTTGAAATGTTGCTTAATGTTAAACATTATAAACTAGTAAATTTAATGTCTTCAAAGACATTATGTCTTTTTTATAATGACAAATTAAACTGTTAGTAACAGCTGAGAACACAAAGACATTATATGCTGGGTTGTTGTACAATAGGGCTTGAAACAACACAACAGAATACCAATAGAAACTGGTTTAGACTACAGGAAACACATTCTTCCACAATAAGCCCATAGATTGTGCCTGTACTTCATTAAAAAATATACTAAAATTTTACAAAAAACCACAGCAGCTTATTGTAGAGATGCATGATAACAACTACATATACATTAAAAGCCATGTAGCAATTTCACACAAGGTTTTCATGCCACCTATACTTGTTTCAACTTCTACACCTTATAGTCTACATAGGTTAACTTTTTTTTTCAGAAAAATAAATAAATTTTATATTGTTTCTCTCACTTAAGTGAAAATATCTAACAATTAGTCACACATCTTTGATGTAGTAGACTACAGTTTCTTGTAGTGCACACAGCTTGTAGTAGAAATGCTAGCTTGTTTTTGGCACATCAACACAGAGGAATTGTATGCGTTGTGTGAACATGATCCAACTCTTGCACAACGGACAAAAGTTCAATTTCGATGCACACTCAGTACAACAGTACATATGTCCACATGGGGAAAACACAGTGCAAAGTTCATTATCCATACATATTTGACATAGAAGCTCATCAGAGAAACCATCCGTGGCAATATAAGTCTTGAGCATGTTGGCAACAGGCACATCACATACACTGCAAGTGACCTTACCCCTTGCACATGTCATACAACATTCCACATGTCCACAGGGGCTATAGGCAACCATGTTTTCAGCTACATGACATACAGTGCACACAGGCATTACACAACTATTGTCAAGTTCATTGCAGCTGTTAGCATCCTCACATTCCTCGTCAGAATATTTGTTAATTTCCATATCATCGACAATTTCTGGCTTTGTTAACTCTTCATCACCATGAATAGCATTATAATGTTCCTCATAAGCTTGCCGTCTTGTGCAACGGACATCTAAATGGTACAACTCAGGGACTGTACGCCTTGCAAGCCACTTGGAAGGGTATGCCCAACATGGGAATGCCAGCATGTAATGATTCCGAACAGAATCTAAAATCTTAGGTTCAAAATAGAACAGTTTTTTTTCTAAAACACACTTGTGCATGACTTTGGCACTCTCACAGCTCGGATGAAAGAAGTGTAGAAACCTGTAGGTGGCAACTGGTCGTTTGATTACCAGGATCATGCGTTCTTCAAAGAGACTGATCTTTGAGATGTCCAGATATGAAACACTGAAATAAAAATTAAATGTCAGCTATACATTTCAATGTTTATTTCACACTGATTAAGGATTAAAGAGTCATTGTTGGTTAATGAGTCCAAATCACATAATGCCTTGAAATTACAGTTAAAAGAATAAAAAAATGTTAACATTTTCCTTCAATACACATAGCTAATCATGTGAACAATGAATGTGCTGTTGATGGACATGCAGCTATGGACTTTGCACTATTATGGACTTGCAAAAATTCAATCTAGCCTAGTCCTTTCAAAATATATCAACCATTATTCTAATTACTCAGGAACTGCATAGCATGTGTAATCTTGTACACATTTTGTTTAGCTATTCCTGCTGAGAGCCTGTGATGTCAACACTACATACAATTTCTTTTGTATTACATGTACCAAGCTCAGATTACTAAGATCAATATCGAGTTATTAAATATGCATAAACAATTGTATCTGGTTTGCAGTATTTACACAGCACTGATTTGCATACAATATAACCTAAGTTGCTTAGATTTTAAACCCAATTTACCTTTAAATTATAAAAGTTTTATATTATATGTGATGTTCATAGGTTTCTGCTAGAATTCACAATAGAGTGATCAAAAATAGAATAACAAATTACAATCTAAAATTTTCTACTATAAAATGCAAATAACTTTGGTCATGCACCATGAACAAAGACTATCCTTATGCCTGCAATTGAATACAATGCAATTACAGAAATTCATTTCTATATACTTATTCAGCACATTTTTCTGCAAAAAAATTACGAAATGGTAGCAAGGAAGATAAAAAACGCATTAGAACCACTTATTGGTTTTGGAATTCACATTTAGTAGCGTTCTAAATTTAAACATATACATCATCACAATGTAGACCCCTGGGAATTAAATTCCTATAAATAATATAATATTCGTTCTGTTCACACTAAAATTAACTTTCCTAAACGTGTCACGCTGGTAAACCTAAATTTTTTTAATAAATCAGCGCTCATGCGAATATAAGATTTCCCTAAGACTTGTTCACATTTATTGCTGAGCCTTTTTTCCAGCAGGCAGGAAAATTCCAGTGTAGCCGGTTTTCCAACATAAGCTCGAACAAAAACAAAATGGCTGCAATTGTGCGACACAAAATGAAATGTAGCGGTTTGTTAAACGAAAACAACCAACCACAACACAATATAAAAGGTAAAAGGCAAAGAAAGGATACTTACATCTCTTTCGAGCTGTGCGGACTTCGTCGATTTATGAGAGTCAAACCGGTCGCTCCAACTGCAGCCAGTAATTTCTCCCCGGCAAGCTTCACTTTGAACCACTCGCAGAAGTAAAACTCTGTCTCCGCCAGAATCGATATAAACTTCAACTTAGCAACGCTTTCCGTGGTGCCTTTGAGATTTTTGTGTTCTTGAATTATGTCCTTTTCCCAGGCGTTAGAAGTTCTAGACGTCTGATAACAAAATTCGTCTGTGTCGAGGTCCCCTCGCTCGGCTTGCCGTATCAACGCATGTAATTTCGTCAGTTGATTTTGACTTAAAATGAATTTATCTTCCCTTAAATTTCGTTTTAACGCATGGTAGAAGAAGTGTCTAAACAATAGAAAGGTGATAGAGCTTTTTAATAGTTGTAATAATTCATGTTTGACGATGTTCAACTTTGAAAATACAATGGGGGAATAAAATTTACATGTTTTGAATTTGGTTAGGACTTTTTCTAGTATTTCTTCTTTCAAAGTCACGCTAGATAAAAGAGGACAATAGCTTACCTTGTCCTTTCGTGTTGTATTTCCTGAGGTAAAACGTAGAACTTCACATCTAATCGTAAACGGTGTGGTTTGCCGGTTATGTGCGGACGAAGTTGCGCCATCAAAGGGTTTCGTAAATTCAGCCATGCCTTCGTTTCGTGATTTATTGAGCGAGTCAAGCCAAAATAGTGTTGTTCAACGATTCCCAGTTTCGTACATAACTAGGATGAGGAGAAAGAGAGATTATTTAAATCTAAATCTAAGATTTTTTTGCGAATATACAAGTACAAAGTTGAACAAAGTCAAAGCGGTGATCGCTTGTGTTTACCTTTTCGTAGCAAATTTGACCCGCGGCATTCTTAGGCACTGTTATTTCGTGGAGTGTTCCATTAGGTTCCTCCACAATATACTTCATTTTTGAGCTTCTTGCTTGAAAAAAGGCAAATATCTCGTCAAAGACGAGGTCTTTGATGTGAAACGCGTCCTAACCAACAAAAGCTTTGCCTCTCTCAGCAAAAAAATATAGCCAGCCTGTTCCAGATCAGGGAAAACTTTTAGATTTCTTGTTTACATCGGGGACGCACATTTGACCAATCAGAGCGCGAGTTGGAATATTCGATGATTGGTGATTGGCCAGGCACGCAGACTATACAAGTTGAACCGGACAAACCGGGAACGTAGTAGAAAACCATCGCGTGATAAAGATTTCAAGTTTGTCAAGAATTTAAGCGAGAATTTCACGTTCCTGCCTTTTGAAATCTAAACATAATTAGTTGTGTTCATCAATGTTACTGTTTAGTTCAATTTTCGATTTTCGATGTCAAAGCAATTTTGTCTCTGCAAAAGCTTAAAAATGTTTTCTACTGTGTAATGTGATATTGGAATGTAGCGTAGTGTTTTAAAATTTGATACCTTCGCGCTAAATTAGACGTTCTACATCAGGGTAACGAACGCGTTCCAATTAAAGTGAAGTATAATTTATATTCTAGTAAATTACGGTAGATATTTTCAGACGTTTATTAAACAGCTTTTAGACCTTTTCTTGTACACAAAACCGTATTTATTGAACTCAAGAAAGCTTTCTTTTAATGTCGCGAACGGCCATTGAGAGATAATTTATTTCGACAAAGGCGTCGGGGAAAAACCGAAATGCAAGAACAGATAACAGGAAACTCTATTGGGAATATTTTACAGATGATATCAAGGTTAATGCAGTTGCCTTTGACCTTGTGCTATTTCAATAAAATTAATCATAATCATGATTTTGGAAAACCTGAACAAGAATTTTTTAATGGTTATGCGTGGGTTGGCCTAGGTTGGCCTGGGTTGAACATGTTTTTCTTGGAAGGCTAGATCATGAGTTTGAATGTAATAAACTTCTCTTTGTGGTCACGGAATGATTTGCCGGAAATCGCAAGTAAATTCGAAGCTTGCGTCGAACTGGGGCACAGGCTATATGTTATTAAGCGGCGGCTGCACGGGCCATTTTCATTGGCGTTTTTGTCTTACTAGCGTATGTTATTGTGTAAATTATATACGCAGTTGTATAAGCTGGGCGATGTAAAGTAACCTATACTCCTATACTGTAACCTATATGTAATGTTACATTTACTTAATAACATACACCAAGAGAAGAAACCGACGTCAAAAACCGACGTCAAAAATCACCCGTGTAGCCAGGGCTTTATACAAATGAAATTGCATGATATAAAGACAAGAATTAGCCTACCTAGACAAGAATGAGCCGTTGCCATAGAATTTTTTATAAACTAGTTATTGTTACCACGTAACCGAACCTAAAATAGACTACGGGTGGTCACACGGTTGAACGTTTCCGCTACTAACAATAGTGTAATTAAAACCCCAGAGGCTCAGACAGAGATTCGTTATATGCTGGTTGTTTGATACGGGCAAGCCAGCTCTAGCTTTTTTTCCTTCGTATAATACTCCGCACTGCGGGGTTCATTATGCAATTTCGCCACTATTCACCAGACCATCATGGTTCAAAGCTCTTTGTCATGCAAATGAGTCAGTATAATTACTCCGCCTGCGTATGCGCAGCGGAGTCTTAAAATGCCATGGTCTTTTTTCCTTTTAGTAGTCGTAGTTTTGGGCGACAGAAGTTGGCATTTCTACAGGTAACCCAAAACAACTTCATTTTTGACCGAGAAGCCCTGGGTTACACGGTCCACGGATGAATTATGTACATCAGTTGGCACGCAGGCGGAGTGAACGCCTTGAGCAGGCGTCTTGTTGTATAAAAGACACCACTAGCCCACATTGTCTTTTTTCGCGGGCATGCTACCATGCCATCATGACCGACCAATTGCAACATTACAAGCTCTTAATCAGCGCGAAGTACCTCCAACGACTCCAAGTTTGTCTGTTGAAGTTCGCGTGGATGTTCTTGCACAAACAATGGATGGAATTACAGCCCAGTTAGCACATCTGACTGAACTCTGAAGTGATTAATACGGTCCCTTTGATCTAGACCTTCACGACGAACCTCAACAAATAGAAGCAGAAGTTGTCTCGGTATTTGATCCTGCTGAAAATATTTCCCGAGGTATTTCCTAAGAGTCAGTAAAAGCGTCGCCGAAGCTGAGTCAGAGTTACCCCATAACGAACTATACAAGGATTCTGAAGATTGTGGCCCGACGGTTTCGGATGGCGTTGCTTCAAAAATGAATAGTGCCTGCACAAAACGTCCAGTAAAAGAGCACTTTTTGCTATTTACGACCTACAAATTGCGAATTTTTGACATCTCCCCGGGTTAATCCCGAATTGTGGGATGATTTGTATGATAAAACGAAGGCTCACGAAGCATCGTTTCGAGTATCAGCATAGGCAGCCCAGACTTTGACTTGCGCGTGTGATACTCGCGCGCGTGTCGCGCTTACGTTGTTTACTTCGTCTATATATTATGACGATCTATATATTATGGTCACTTTAATCCCTATAATAGCCTATATATGGTCTAAAGATTTCTCTGTATCCGTTGTACCAAGATGGGTCATCATTAATTATCGTTTTGCAGTTGAAATGACATCCCTGCAAGCGTCGAAATATTTTGGTTTATTTCACAATTGAGTCATCGTCTCATAGTCAACGTCGACCTCGTCTATATATTATGACGATCATAATATATAGACGAAGTAAACAACGTAAGCGCGACACGCGCGCGAGTATCACACGCGCAAGTCAAAGACTCAAAGTCTGGGCTGCCTATGGTATCAGAAAAGATTAATCAACGGCATTATCTCGGTGTTTTATTTGGCGGAAAAAGTCGTTCAAGCCAAACGAGCGCAGAAAGAATCGGTTCGACTATCAGATATATATGATTTAGTCGTTGACGCCCTCACACTGCTCGGCAACTCGTTTTACGATTTCTCGGTGAAACGAAGGGAACTTTTAAAATCGGAAGTTGCCACAGCTTACAGGTGAGGCCGCCACGAGTCCCAACCGTCACCACAATGTTATTTAGGCGCCCCGAAGCATTCGTAATATTTCCGAAGTAAAACGAATGGCAGCAAAGAGTATTGGTAACAAGCGGAAGAGCAATCAGTCACCCACTCAAGGTGGGTTTTCCGATCCGGTGATAAGCGAGGACCTTACAATACTCTCTCGGTATATTAAATATTTATATGAACCGTATTTAAACTGCAAGCGCTTTGATTACCGAAAACCGCCGTTTCGTCAGTCAGCGAGCCAGTCACCCAGGAAGTCCGGATCGTCAGTCACCAAGCAATCGCAGTGGCGAAAATTGCATAACTCTTGTCTAATTTTATATATTCGTTCGTGTTCGTTGTATTGCAGGGACGCCGGAATTTGGGGGTGGCAGGCTGGCAGCTGCCGCTCTATAGCACGCTTTTTACTAGGGGCAAGGGAGTAAAGGATGCCCTTTCAATTTGGATTGCATTGCAATTGCTTAATAAATTGCAAATCTGCTTTAAAAACGCTACAAATGCAGCCAACAAGTTTCCCAAATAGAATTGGGAGCATAAGCTTAGCATCTGCTGATGTTTTGCAAACAATGAACTATGGTCTATGCGTCATTACGGAAATCGCTCCGGCGTCTCTGTCTCTGTCGTGTTATTTATCACTGTTGTGAACTATAAAGACTTCTAAACAAGGAAGAGGCCAATGAAATGTTTGTTCAAAAAAGAGACCTTTTAAGACTAATTGGTTGGCACGAAATTTAAGTGCATACGAAAAATGCAACGGTGTTAACATAAGAATAATTCAGCTAGGTATAGATAACGGCATAACGCATGGGTGCTCTTCACTGACCAGACACCAAAGGCCAGACACTAAAGGTCATGGTGCTATTGAAGAGTAAACGGAGTTAACAAAGTACAGTGTACTTTGTATACGTTTTTTATTCTAAACACCTCCTTCGGGGCTTCAAAAATAATTATTTACGGAAATTGGCATGACACGAGAACGAGGATCAGTGTCAAAACCTGACTGAGCCTCGTTTTCGTGTTACGGCTTATTCAGTAATTTGAGCTTATGAAATCATATTTCCTCACATTTCTCAAAATAAAAAACTTTTTCATGCATGTGTCGAAGAACTAAGAAGGATGTTTTCACCTTTGCACATGTCTCGTGAAATTAAACGTATAATCCATAGATAATAGAATTTTATAACACTACAAATTCGCAATCAAATTCGGTTTATTTGGATTCTCATCTCTGGATTTTCATAATTGACATTTGCACCAAAGGTAGGGCATTTGTTATTTTTTAGGCTTATTGTCTAACCTATGGTTTAAATTTATGAACTATTTCTCATATAATACTTGGTTTTGCATAGGTTACAAGTGAAAATCATGTGTGTAAATAGTAATCGTATCAAATGTATAATTATTTTTATGTATTCATTTATTTATTACAGATAACTCACATCCCCAATGCCAATGGCCGTGTTTATAACCTTATCTCAGATGAGGTTATAAACACGGCCATTGGCATTGGGGATATGTATATATTCATATATTTCCCTAATGTGTGATATGGATTTTTTTGAAAGCAATTACGTTTACTGTATGCAAAAAAAAGTGCAGAGTGTAGACTTAATTAGTACTAATTTGCTATAAGAAGATTTCAATTAAGAAAAAAGGTTGTTATTTTCAATGTTAAACCAGTTTGTACTGATCGAAGATTAATGCAGTTTTTATCTCCTAGAGTTGTTGCAATCAAAATTTTAATAAAATATTGCAACAATTCATTACCTAAAGTCAATTTATGGAAGAATTGAGCATCTTTCTGTATGCGAGAATCAACTTTGTTTCAATGACTGATTAAATATAGAAAAAGCATTGTAGCTTGTAGACAGGAAATTCATCTTTAATAAATGGGTAATGAATTGATGCAATATTCTATCAACACTGAATCACTTCCATTGCAATAGCAGCAAGCACTAGTTCTGTCACTGGTTCCTCAATTAGTGCCCTAAACACATGTATAATAATGAAAGATGAAAGGTAATCAAATCCCATGCTAAAATTTCTAGTGCAATCAAATGAAATCATCACACATACCTATCATCTTTGTGTATCTCTAGTTTTCTGTGATATAATAGCTGTGAAGGACTGGAGGAGCCTTATATTGATTTAATCTCAGTGCTGCTTGATTCAGATATAATGCACACATTTTATTAGGAATCAGGAGACTCCATGTACCTAAAGTACCTATTTTTTTAGATAGCCATTGTCATTGTACAAAAGTACAAAATGCAGGGGGAGGGGGTGAGTGCAATGGGAATGTCTCCTTGACAGTGCAGAGGGATATAATTGCAACTTGCATCAAATAGAATTTTTCTATCATCAGGTTATGGATACATTATTGAAACAAGGATATAGTTGCTTTGAGGCGGGAAAATTTTCTTCATCTGAATGCTTCTTCAGTGAGGTGGTGAAGAAATGTCAAAGCCATGAACCAAGGAATTACCTTGGGAGCAAAGAAGCTTTTCTTGGACTAGTTGATGTGTACATAGAGTATGGTTTATCAAATTCTTTACCATGTGATGAACGTCAGGATATGCTGCTCAAGGCAGTGGTCATGTGTCACTATGTAATGAATCTGGTAAAGAAATGTGAGAATCAAGAAGATTCTCAGGAAGGAATTGGTGGGCACCCCATTGACTCATCTTCTTCAAGTGAAATTTCAAGTCGTCTGCGTCGTATTGAAGTTGAACTTTTGAGGACTATGAATGTCAGCTCTGAATACACAACCACCGAAAATTCGGTTAAACATAAAATGGCACTCCTGGAGTTGAGAAAAAGCGTGATTGCAAGAATCTCAAAAGTAGAAACGATGGTTGATTTCAGTCAATCCGTGGATGCAAACGAAGACAGATTTTCTTTCGAGATGATGAGAATTAACAACACCATCTTTGGCGCCATGAAAGATATCGTTCAAAGAATGGTTACGGAGTGTCACCTGCTTCTTGGAGATCCTCCTTGTGACTACGTCGCTGTGAGCCTTGGTTCTTTCGCGTTCGGCACAATGACTCCATATTCCGACTTGGAATGGGCTGTATTGCTAGATGTCGAAGACGAATCCCTAAAGGGCTACTTTCGCAACTTATCGCGTTTGCTTCATTTCAAATTGGCCAGTTTAGGGGAAACCATCGTACCGTCAGTTATGGTGGGGAGCTTGAACAATGAGCAAGATTCCTGGTTCTATGATGATGTAACACCTCGGGGATTTGCAGCAGATGGCGCCATGTCAAACGCCTGTAAAACTCCTCTTGGAAGAAAAGATAGTTCAGGGAATATTGTATTTGAGCTTATACACAGCCCGGAATTGATGGCGCAGTTCCAAAATCGAGATTGGTTAAACAAATCATTTGAGCTTTCGGCGTCCCTGCGCACTTTTCGAACTGTGTACAAATCAAATTCGCAAAAAGGAGATGAAATCATAGGAAGGTACAGGCAAGAATTGAAGAATCAACTTGATACTTTCGTTGAAGAAAATTCAATTTTACCTCACGAGAAGGACATATTACCATCCAACTTTCCAGATCCTTGTTGTTTGCCCAAAGAACTTGTTCAGAAAGTGACAAATGGGACTGAAATTTTGGGGGACCAGGAATCTTGTGGCCATAACACTACAAAGTTGCCTAAACCAAACGCGGAGGGGAGTAATATCGCCCTTGAATACAACGCTCAAAATGACGTTGTTCCCCAAGGATGTCCCAATGATTCGAAAGGTAGGAACATTTTGTCTTATTTTTTACCCCATTCAGTGTTTTTTAGAGAAGATATTTATCGTGGTCTGTACATACAAGTACATACTCTTTGGTCCGTTTAAGAGAACATCAAAAACCCTACCGTTTTCATTTCTGTCCTTCTTTCGAAAACTTTTTAACGACTCCAACGGCTCCACTTATTTTGACTTATAAGGTGAACATTTTCTTCAATTCTAGATGATGCAAAAGCAAACGAACTTGCCACAATGCGACATCACCACATGAAGAAAATTTTGGAAAAAGACCTGCCTCGGTATCATTTTCATGATGTCATCTGTACATCTGATACGGAAGGGATGATTTACAACGTCAAAAAAGATTTATACAGACAGCCAGAGCGCCTCTTGTCCATTTTATTTCTAAAGTTTGGAATCGAGGGCGCTGACGTTTATGAAGGGATAGAAGAATTACATGTAAAAGGTTTTGTTGATGCGAAACTGAAAAGAGATCTGATGAAATCAATTTCCATTGCATGTGAGTTACGACTTAGATCGTATCTTGACCATGACAGACAACTAGAAGAACTTGACATTCCTTCGTTCATTGCTTGTTGTAGCGAAACTGCGTCCGAAGCTCCTGAATCTCTGACGAAAAATGCGCGTCTTGACCGTTTGATTGCATTTTATCGTGTCGTCCTACCATTTTTGGGAGAAGTGTTGGAAATGCCATGCGACAGAAAACCCATTACCTGGGCCTATTCTGATCTGAGTCATTCGCCTAGTTATTACAACGCTTTAATACATCTGCGCCTGCTACGCTACGAAGATGCAAAATATTTTTCCATGAAAGCAGTCCGGGAAAACCCAGCTAATCCAACAAGCTGGAGAGTTTTGGCAAGGTTACTCGAAAAGCAGGGAAAATACGCTGAAGCCTTTCTTTGCCGTTGGAAATCTTTTAACATGTATTTTTATGGAAACGAAAATATCATGAGTTTGAGTCAGGAAAAAGACGATGTCCACGAGGGAGCGATCCAGTTGGAATCAGATATCCAACAGACTTTAGAGAACACTTCGAAGCCTGATATGCACTTTTTATCAAGATGTCTCCACACGATGGGATTATGTTCTTTCTTTAGTTCCCAATATCAGCGAGCTTGGCACTTCTTCAGAGTAGCGTATAAACTACTACTGGCATTCCCGTACCTCAGATGCGGAGATGCCATGGGGTCTGTGTTCAGCAATATTGCTCTTTGTCTCAGCACAGCAGGACGATACGATGAAGCGATTACTATTTGTAGTGTTATCTTGAAAGTTGAAGGCTTTCTTAGCGCCATGCAGGTCCCAAAGGCGAGAGATAACCTTGGTAATGTTTATCTGCGCAATGGAAACTATCTACAGGCTTTAAGTGAGTATCGCCAATCTTTGAAGCTCAGAAAAAACTATTATCGATCTTCTAATAATCCTTTCCTGGTGATTTCGTTAGTGAACATTGCCAACGTTCTTTCGAAAATAGGACAGGTAATGGAATCCATCGAACATTACAAGGAGGCTTTGAAAGTCATCCAGCGAATTTATGCGAATCCGCACGCCAGTTACTCCGAGTTATGTCTATCTGGTATTGGAAGAAATCTCGTGTCTTTGGGGAAGTACAGTGAGGCTCTGGAGTACTGCGAGAGGAGCGTGCAGGCAGCTAAAAAGAGACAGCATCGAGACAGGAAGACATACACGATGGTTCTTATAGGTCTTGGGAATTGTTACCTATACTTGAAAAGATTCGACGATGCAGTCATCACATACGAGGAATGCGCGAACATATTTCAAGAACTTAACATGGATAATGTAACGGGAGAAGATGAAATGACGGTTCTCCCTCATGAGATCGGCATAGTTTACTGCAATTTATCAGTCGCATTGAAGCAACAAGGAAAAATCCACGCCGCTTCACGATGGTTGCAAAGATCCGAAGAAAAGATCGCATCATGCGTGAACGGAGAATCGCACCCCGACATGGGCGTTATTTTTCATGCTAAAGCACAACTTTTGCGGTCACAAGGCAAGGCAGAAGAAGCCAAAAAGATGATGGAAAAGGCGCTTGAAATATTCACGAAGGCTTTCGGCAGCGATTGTCCCAATTTCTTGACTTTCAGAGCAATGATTGATCTGGGCAATCTTCTTGTTTCTCAGCGTCAATTTGTAGCAGCTATAGAACGATACTGCGAAGCTCTTCGTCTGTTGTACAGCGACGCTGTGCAAAAAGATGCCCATATAGAGTCCAAGATCTCTGCTCATAAGAATATGGGTTATTCGTATTATCAACTAAAGAAGATACCCGATGCTATCGCCTGTTACAAGAAAGCTCTGAGCATTTGGGAATCAGCAGAAAAATATGAAAAATCCTTAAATGACATTGACAAATCCTTGATCCTTAGTCTACACATTGAAGCCGGTAATGCTTATATCCGTGGTGGAAATTGCATTCAAGCCATCAAATTATACCAGGTTGCAGTCAACACACCGATTTCTGTCAGTTATGGGGTTTGTGACCTGAAACAGGTTGCTTGGACATTGGCCGCTATGCAGCAGAAGGCAGGTTTACTTCTTGAAGCAATTCAAAGCTTTGAAAAAGCAGTTTTTCTTCATGCAGAATCGGGAAGAGAGAAAGATAATTTCGTTGTGAAGTGCTATCAGAATCAAGCGGCGTTATATGGGACCCTTGGGGACCAGGAAAACGCTGGTCGTTTTGCGGAGAAAGCTCTTGAGGTACAGCTGACCATAACGAACTCTCAACCACTTGAAAGCACCGCGAAACTTCTGGCACAGGTTGCTGAAGCATGGTCGTACAGTGATACGCAAAAAGCGTTGGAGTTCTGTCGCAGATCCATTAAAATGATCGAGAAACTAGGAGCTTCGCCGGCACTGAGATATAATGTTCTTTCCGATCTGGGATTCTATTGCCATTTGCACGGCTTGAAAGAAAAAAACCTGACCGAACAGCAGTTCCTTTTCGAAAAAGCAGAGGTAAGCTACAACAAGGCATTGGGCTACCAAAAAACGGAACCAATTCTGTTTAACATCAGCTTTTTGTTCATGTCAATGCTTCGTTTTGTTGAAGCGATTACGCACCTGAATGATATTCTTGGAAGATGTGGTAGATGTAGCAAAGTGGGTTTGGATAACCGTGATGCCAAAGTTATAAATCAGGAACTTCGAGAAGCGTTGTTTTCTAGTGAGATCAAAACTGAAGTGGTTGTAAGGTCCGTGATCTTGGCTCACTGCTTGAAGTTCCAGTGTTACAAAGCACTAGGACCAGGTGATTACATGAACGCAAGATCTGAAGCTTCTAAGGTCATTGAATATCTGACTGGAGATGAAAATCCTGAAGAATCAGACCAAACACTGCTTAATTTCGCTTTGGAAGAAATGGAAAAATTCGACAGTTAAAAACTCAGTTAGAAATATTTTGAAAAGAACCAAGAACAATCAAGAGTTGTGAATGTATGGGCTAGTGGTTTCCATTCAAGTCATAGGCAACTTTGGTATGCATATGTAATGTATATAATGTTAGGGTGATAAAAAACTTAAGGCTGGATTTCTGCTTGCAGAGAAGTTTGCTAGCGAAACATCCCTATATTTTCCTTTGAATTTCGACAGAATAAATAAATGAGTGCAGTTTGACTGTGGAAATCCACCCTAAGTATTCATAAATTTGCTGCAGAAAACTGTATAGTAATCTGCATAATCACTACTTTGTTGAGGAAGATTTCTTGTCGAAGTAGTGATAGTTTTAAGAATACAGTGAAAGAGAAGGGTAGTTTGAGTCTTTGATCCTGTCGACAAACATTACCGACAAACATTACCGACTATCTTGCTGTTGCGGTTACGCATAGCCTTCACACCTTTCCAGCTCGGATAACACAAGCGTAACCGTAAAATGCTCTCCATAGTGGAAACGCATGAAAAGGCAACACAAGTGAATTGTAGAATCTAAGCCAATATATCGACTCTTATGTAAGCCCGTTCTCCACTAGGCGAATTTGTTCGCGTGAACAGAAAAAAAGTGTAGGAAGCGATTCTACTTTTTCGCGGCGAATTTTTTCGCAAGCCAATCACATCACTGGATTTCAGATATCGCTTCGCGTCGCGCGAATAAATTCGCCTAGTGGAAAACGGGCTTAAAGGCCGACACAGACCGGACGCCAATTGGCAACGCGGCGCGAATTTTCAACGTTTTTAATTTTTCAAAATCAAATAAATTTTAAACGATCATAATATTCTTGTAGATTACATTACAATAAAACATTTTAACTGCTCTAGCGTCCATAGTTTCCAAATTTTGCTTCCAGAATTTAATTTATATGCTTCTGAAAACCCAAAATTCGCGTCGCGTTGCCGCATCGCGTCCGGTCTGTGTCGGCCTTTAAAGCAAGCGTGCGGCACCATCTACTAGCCGTTTTCACAGGATTCCACATGTGTATTTTCAGAAATAACAACCTCGAAAACGCAAGGATACAGATACGTGTGTGGTGTGGGCGTGTAAACTTTTGAATCCGTAATGAAATGTTTGCGGAATACAAATGAATCCGGATACGTTTAGATTAGAAGTCCGATTTCACGGTCACGTATAAACGTTCGAATTCGATCACGTATCACCGATTAAATAAATCTGCAATCGCGTTTCACGGTTAAAAAAGTACAATCACGCTTCATGCCAAACGTGTTGGCTCCACTAACTGAACGTCAGCTTGCATCTGTGACCATATGACCAACCTGTTATTACAAATTATTTGCATTAGACTGTATATAGTTCAGTTTCTCCGTCAGTTGTAGAATTACCTCGCACCGTAATTGTTATTTTTTTTTCAATAACACTTTGTGCCGTGAATAAAGTACAGGAGCGTAGGTAAAAGAGCCTGGCTTGCGAGGTTGTACCACTTGTACACGAGCCTGGGTTAGCTGTCTTGCCCCAGGGTTGTTACTACGAGCCTGGCCTGGGTTAGCTCTCTTGCCCCAGGGTTCAGGGTTGTTACTACCCAGTTTCCCTCTCCCCTTTTCATGCAACTCACCACGAGTCCAAGACAGAAGTATTAAATCAAGTTTCTATAACAAACAGAAATATTTGGCTAATACAAACTCCAACACAGCAGCGCTCATAGTCTGCGGTGCAGACGCTTTGAATTTCAAAGGTATACCAATCTAAATAATTTATAAATTTATAATAAACTCTGCCAATCGGGTAACTACTTGGTAATGAACAGACAAAACTGATAACTCTGCATTTTAATAAATATACTCTAATATTACACAGAAAGACACACTAATTTTCTTTTTACAACTTTCTATATATACATTTAAAATTTGTCTTTCTGACACTTCTGCAGACCAATTTATAAACATATGCTATTTAACAATATATTATAAATATAACTATACATTGAATGAACATTGTAAAAAATAAGCTGTACAATTATATTGCAGTTTCAATCAGTATTAATTTAAACATTGGGGAATGTGGTTAACATGCTGAAAGTATGACAAGATGTAATTGGAAAAATTCCATGACAATGATTTGGAACATCTTGACAATCAACACTAATCACAGGAGAAAAAGACTCTTTGTGCATATGTGATTTGACTTCGACATATTGGACATTCCCTGCACATGGTGGAACATTCTGAACAGCAAACAACATGTCCACAAGGACAGAATGCAGTTGCAACTTCCTCATCCATACAAACTTGACAAATGCGAGAATCTTCAAGGTCTCTGACGATCTTCTTAAGATCCTCATTAGACAGTTCATTAAGATTTTCGTGTGTTGTGAACTTTCCTCGTGGGGATTTAGTAATGTCTATGACAATGTCATCATTGGTTCCAGAACGTCGATTAGATAGTGGTGATTGCACTGGACGGAAATCTGGGTTTTGGGAGCCATCTTCTGTTGGTTGGTGCCTTCTTTTGTTGACATTCAGCTGTTCATTCAGTATACTCCAAGATCGAGTGTATGCTTGCCTTCTTGTGCGTAGGATATCAAACAAATACATCTCGCCAACTGTGGAGTGTGGGTGGAATATTGTTACAAACTTCCCAAATGTTGTTCGTGTGGTTTGGTCGATGACAGATTTCTTGACTGTGCTGCAGTTGAAGAAAGTGTGGAATTCAGTAAATGAACGGAAAAGTGAAATGGCCATAAGTTCACTTTTCAGTTTGAAAACAACACGGTTGGTTGTGTTCACACCAGAGCCATAGACCACAGTAAAATTATGTGTGCTGTAAGACACTGTTGAAACATCTTCATACAGAATCCTAAAGTGGGTAAAAATATAAACAATAAGTATGAAATGTGAGTACACCAATTTGGTTTTCATCATTTTAAAATCATTCTAAATTAATCCAATCTTATTCCATAGGTAAGAAACAATGAACTACATTTAAATAATGAACTACATTTAAACAATGAACATTGGGTTAGTAACGTTAGTTGCTGCAGTAATTGGTTGACAAAAACGGGTGCCACATGTACATTTTATCATAATGCATTGCTGTCATTGCAAGAATCATTGATCAAGCATGAAATAAATATACCTAATGCCATCTAAATGCCAAATAAAGACACCTAATGAAATTGGTGAAATAAAGACACCTAATGCCATCAAATTTTAGCCCAACAATAAAAAGCCCTTTCTTATGCCCATACTTCAAAAAATGAGATGACTAAAAACGTTTGGGATGATTGCAAACGACAAAGCTTATTACAATAGCCTGACATAAAAGCATAATGGTGAAATGTAAATCTGCCGACTTATATAAATGGTCAATTAAACAATCGACATGGGATCATATTATATAGCTTTTGTGTCTATACAATACACCAATACCAATATATAAATTGTTAATGTAACAACATTGCCAAACATTTTTTTCACAGTTTAAATTACATAAACGTTTGAATACTTCTTCATTATTTGAAAGGAAAGCAATTTTTATATGCTTTATAATATTGAGGCTCCCAAGCGGAGTAAATGAATATACATTGCATGATTTTCGTTTTCAATTGGAATTTAAATTTAAATTAATCTTCCAGAAAAATAACAATTTTAAACGACAACAGCGGAGCTGTCATAATGTATGTTAGGTTTTTTCCTTTCTAACACTTCTTTTACTTCATAAGGAACGCTATTTGAATTATCTCCAGTTACAAAAAGTTGGGAAATAACACAAGAAAATTACCCTATTTTGAAAGACTATTAGTCTATTACCTTCGGTCGAGGACGCTTCTAACCACTTCTTTGCCCAATTTTGCATCATACTCTCTGATAATGCTGTACACTTTCAGACCATCTGTATCGACCAATATCTTGAGTTTCCTCCCATAATTATCAGCCGTATATCGACCTTTAAATGTCTCAATGCCATAGCCGTGAACAACTGACAATAGATGCAGTAAATTCACTTCTGCGACCCGTGCGGTTTGACCAACAAGTTTGTTATGCTCGCTTGAAACTTCCTTTTTTAGATCGCAAGATTTCGTTAGCAAAGACCAAATATACAAAGGTAAATACGTGGAGTAATCGGGCACATTGTCCGGATTGTAGTCTCCCGTTTCTGCCTGGGCTAATGTCGCGCAAACTTCAGCAACACTTCGCGTAGGAAGAGATGTCAGGTCGAAACGTCCGCGTCTCAGATACAGTTTCAAAGTCAGAAAATATTGGTGTCTATATGAAGAGAAAGATATTATCTGTCTCATAAAGAAAAAGCTAGTGTTTTGTCAGGTGATATAAGCAAGCCAATTTTTGTGGGATTATTTTCGAAGTGTTTGTGTATTTTCAAGTAGTTTTTATAATACAATTGTACTGTTCAATATGTTCTTGATTTTACCCACATTGGAAACCTCCTACTCGCAATCGAAATATCATACATATTGATCTATTTAAAAAGTGCCAAATTGCTAGCATATTATACGGTGTTTAGGTCTTCACGCAACCTTTCCTAATACCTTGTTATTTCTTGTTGTAATTCTTGAGGCTTCACAAAATATTTTACCAGAAACCAGAAACGATACGGCGGCTTTCCGTGCACTTGTCCCGATAACGTGTTTCGCAAATTTAGCCAAATTTCAGTCCGTTTTGGTCCTTTGTATCTCAAACCAAAGTAATCTCTTTCGTAGAGCTTTAGTCTTTCACAAATCTACAAGAACGAGAAACATGCTAACCGTTATAAATTTTCCTGAGAAGACAGGTGAAATCGACAACTTCATTTGGGTTTTCCCTGGCGAAACGCAAAGTTGAAAACGTACCTTATCGAAGCATTCATGTCCCTTAGCGTTTTTATTCAAGTGCATTTCATGGATAATGCCATTTGGCTCGTATATCAGACACCAAAGCATTTTTCTAACTAGTTTACAAACGACAAAAACCCGTCAACAAAAGACATAAACAAAAAATTGTCGCGAAGCATTAAAAATGAAAATAATATATTCCGGCATTCTGCACAATTTTTATCCGCTACCTTAGCCAATCACGATCAACGAAATTATCTACAAGCGATTTGATTGGCTATTGTTACGATAACAATATAAACACTATGGATCCCAATATGGATCCCAAGTTTAAGAAAGAAAACTTCAATATCGATCGTAATAATCTGATATTTTTTAATTTCTTTGTGGTTTCAAGTGCACTTTTCTTTCCTTAATGGTGCGAATGATCGGCAAAAAACAGGATGTCGTTTCATTTCGAGGTTAATGGCAAATTAACCGGTAACCGCTAAATTATTAATTGTAAATATTAAACAAATTAGTATAATAGAGCAAAATGTTGCTTCAAATAATCCGCAACTAGGGTCCATGACGTTACCCAATATCCATATGTCACGATTGTATCGCTAATTTATGGGCATTCCGCACACTTGCGTTTTTATGAACTTCCTTGTTAGATTTACGTGTTCGTTTTAATTTGCGTCATAAATCCACGCAGTGCTATTGTATTATCAACAACTTTCCGCATGTTTTGCGTATGAACTAAATTCGAACGGGTACACAAAACACGAAAAGACAACTATTACATAACATCGATTGGAATAAATCTGAATTGGGCATTCCTATTTTAGTTATTCAGAAGTCAAATTTTGAATGCTTTGGATGCAATATTATATTGGTTCTTGGGCTAGCTGTTCAATCGTGGCTAGCATAAGTAGCACCCTAGAAAAGTGACTCGGGGTGGGAGAGGGATTTATAGCAGTTCCTTTCCACCCTTATAGTTTCGATCAGAGTTTCGATCAAAAATACCAAACGCTGAACTCCGCATTGTGTATATAAACTTAAGCTATTGAAAACCTCTTTGGTATAGAAATATTTATTTGAAAATATTTAGAATAGATAGGGAGATGAATAGATAGTTTGGATAAACGGTTAAGAAAGATAGATGGGTTGGATAGATTGCAGATATAGATGGATTGATTAAGACATGGATTAATAGATTGATAGATAGGTGAATAGTATCCTCTTTCCCAATGCTTTCGCTTGCACTCATTCTTTGAGTATGGGATCAATGATCGAGCGCTCAGGTACAGGCGAGAACCTGTAAAACTACCCCACGAATTTTCCACGAATCACCGTTGAACCGCCGTTCCGCCATCAAATTTGAAGTGTTGAATCCAATTTTATATTTGTTAATAAATCGGATGACATAAAAAATAGGACTATTTTCTGGCAAAAACTCCCTGACACCGAAGTAATTTAATAATAATGAGAAAACACGAGGAGATGAAGTGCCGATCAAACACTCTCTGGCAAGCTTCATACCATATTGCTTTCAATATTGCTATAAAGACTCGTTATCCTGAATACTCAATCTACTCATTTGCATATATGGCGACATTATATGGGGTGTTTCCATTCAGTGCAGAATATCTCACGATATTTCATCACAGGATGATGATGACCACTTGACTGTTTGTATTTCAAAAGAAAACGATCGCAAAAAGTCAATATTCTAGTTTGGGTATTTGAACATTTTTTCAAGATATTCGCTAGCCTCTACAGAGTACAGACGATAACAAGTAAACTTGCCCATTTTTCACCGTGGGTCAGCCCATAGGCATAGACAATCGAAGGAATTGGATTTCATTTGAATATCTATGGCATTGGTATGGTCAGCCTGGTAATACTTTGGCATAGAAAAAAATCAGAAACATCATGCTCAGCCATCGAATATATAGTAGCTGTATGCAACTTTACAGCTATGTTCTAATAAAGCCCTTAAAGGCTAGTTTCCACTCAGGAAAAACATCCTTTGGATTAGGACGGACAGGAAAATTTCCTTTGTCGGTGAGTTCTCAGGCGGTGTTTATACAAAGGAAACTGTTCTGTCCGATCCAAAGGAGACTTTTCCTGAGTGGAAACTAGCCTTAAGAGACCTTCTAATAAACCGGCCGAACCTAAACCGTCAACATAAACATACCTTTTATGGCAATTGGCATGAACTTAAACCAAGGGTCGACTGTAGGTTATCGCTAACTCTGGACTATCAGTTTAATCCGCTTTTTTGTTTATTTGTTTCGGAACCGTCTAAAACAGCTGTCGCGTGTTGGTTGGCGAAAACGTTGAGACACTAACTAATGAATTATGGGCGTGACTCTGTGAGGTAACCACCCCCTTCATAACTCTACGTTTACCCAGTATGGTGCAGTGAGCGCTGCGAACTTCTGAGCCTTGGGAACTTACTTGAATCGTATATCAATCTAGTAGAAATAAAAAAACTTGGTATAATCAATTGTCATAAAAATTATTCTTAAAGGCTGCTTTCCCCCCTGGGGCCGGTTGTTCGAAAGGCGTTTAGCTTAAACGGTGGATAAGTTCAAAATGGAAAGCAAAACTATATATTTATTGAACAACTGAGCTGACTATTTCGATGTAAATAGCTTAATTGTCAATGGAAGTACACATTTAATGCATAAGATGCAGGTTCAGTCATTCACAAGATGCATGAGAGTAATTTTAAACTTTGGCTTATCCACCATTTAAGCTAAACGCCTTTCGAACAACCGGCCCCAGGATAATAAAATCACCATGGATAATAACGTCTTTTAACTTTACATGTTTCCACTTACGCGTTTTTATACGCACGCACACGTTCGGAAAATTTTAAATGCTTTTAAATTTTTATTAATCAACATCTAAGTCAACTAATGCATACTAAAACATGCAGAAAACTAAGTTCTTTCGATTTATTCACTTAGTTTTTTCAAAGGTAACATGCAGTGGCGGATCTAGGGGTGTGCAGAATAGATTACACAGGCTTAATTTTAAATTCAAAACACATTAATAGCAACGCATTGGTTATAGATTTGAAAAGAATATTTTTACAAGAAAATTTTCCAATGCGATTCCGATTTTAAGCTGTAGTAATTTATTCTGTACACCCCCAGATCCACCACTGGTAACATGTATAAGGATTTAGACTCTTACTTGCTTGTACGTGCGTATGAAAAACGCGAAAGTGGAAAACAGCCTTTACCACTGCCGCGTTTTTTAGTACATACGTATACGCACGTAAAAGTTAAAATCATTGAAATTATATTTATGAAATTAACGATTGAGTAGATACATAGGGTTCTGTTGATGATTTGGTGTGTTTCTTCTGGCATAAAATTAATTATACAACAACAGTTGGAAGGTTCTAAACTCTTAAGTGCGTATACGTAAGTACAAACAGTTGGTTAGTGCTTTCACAGTCCACAGTCCTGGGACATTTCTTTACTGTCGTTTTTCTATACCTTCGTACACGCTACTAAAAACTGTTTTTGAATGCACACTATCTACAGGGTGTCCCAAAAAAAACGAAAACTATTGAAATCACTCATTGTTAAAATTTGAATGCCGTGTGCACGAATTTTAACCCGTGGGGATTTAATGCAACTCAGTGAAATGCTAAATGCTTTGTGTTGCTAGAGAAAGGGGACATGTCGAAGGTCATGGTGATTGAGATGCACATTTAAATATTGTTAATGAATATCATTTTCGCGTACGAGCAAATTTTACTGCATCATATGCATGCATAAAAATGCTTATGGCAAACATTTATACACTTGTGGGTCCCAACAGAGTGCTTAGGCATTCAAACTCTAACAATTACATTGTTATGGGTGATTTCAATAGTTTTCGTTTTTTTTGGGACACCCTGTAGATGAAATGCAGCATTTGCCCTTCATTAAGGAGAAAACAATACTGAATTGTGCTTATTGCATACTTAATAGTGCGCTTCTAATTTCAATAACAGCAATAAAATGTCAATTGGGCGTAATGGAAGTTCAATAAAACAACGATTTAATTAATGCCAACTTTTAACGTTCAAATCAGTGTGCGAGTCAAATAACAACAGCATGTACTGATGCACAGAAAGACTGGAATCAGGTTCTCATTTCTTCCTCCTGCGAGGATAAATTTCAACTTTTTGTTACAGAGCTCAAACAAGGCATTGATACCTATCTTCCAAAAAGGACAATTAAAATCCATCAGTCAGATCGCCCTTGGATGACAAACAAACTTAAGATATGGATTAGAAAACGCCAGACTGCTTTCCTAAAGAATGGTAAGGTCCGTAAGAAATCCTCTAGTTACAGGTATTGGAGGAATAAAATCCAAACTGAAATTAAATTAGTCAAGACGCATTATTATACACATAAAGTGGCAGATATAAGTCAGACTAACCCTCGAAAATGGTGGAATCAGATAAAAAAAAGCTTATGGGACAAGATATCCAGCAGGAGCGGCACTATTAATTTCTTAACGGCAATGAAAATGTTAAGATGCTAACAGACGAAATTAATGATTACTTCTTAAGCATAACTGAAAAGTTTTGCATTACCATCTTGCTCAACTCAGCACGTGCCAAATGAATTCCTTGTCTCTGAAGCAGAGATTCATCGATCGCTTTCGTCCGGCTTACAAGTTAACAAATCTGATGAGATCCTAAATAGAGTGCTAAAAGAATTTCCTGCCGAACTTTCACTGGTTATAAAGGATATATATAATCAGTCGATCAGGAAAGGATATATCCCTGAATTATTAAAATGTTCGCTCTTAACGCCTATCCAAAAGGTGAATCCAGTCAATCCACCACAACTATCAATTGAACATGACCTACGTCCAATATCATTCACAACCCGTTTATGAGGCCCTCGATGGTGGAAACGCTGTGCCCAATTTTTCTTTGCTGATTTTAGCAGAGATTTCGATCGTATTGACCACCACGTTTTTATGAAGAAGTTAGCAAAACTAAATATTCATCCAGTATAACTCAATTGGATTTTGGCTTCTCTTTCTGATAGAAAACAAGCTGTCAAAATTGATGGAATGGAAATTGTCCAATGATGGCATACCTCAGGGAACCAAACTTGGTGTTATCCTTTTCTCAGTTATGACGAATAATTTAATATCTGATTGGCATTTGAGATCAAAATATGTTGATGATACTGCCGCGTTAGAGATCGTTCCTAGAAATTCAATCAGTTACCTGAATCACGCGGCATACGAAATATATCAATTTTCAATCAGTCACCACATGAGCCTCAACCCACATAAATGCAAGGAGATGGTAATAAATTTTTTGAATAATGGCAATTTCACATTGCGACCAATCGTTACAGGGACCACTGTGGAGTGCAACTAAGTGAGGATCTCAGATGGAATGTTCATGTTGACTATATATACAAGAAAGCTTGTAAGAAGCTGTACTCTCTACGTGTTCTAAGCAGAGCTGGCATTGCGCAAAGAGATGTATTAAAGGTGTATCTATCTACCATCAGACCCGTGTTGGAATATGCGGTACCAATATGGCAAACGATACCTGAATATTTATGTAAAAAGATCGAATGCATACGGAAATGAGCACTTCCGATTATTTACCCCTCAGTTGATAATTATGACAAGGCGATCTGCCTAGCCAAAATACCAATTTAGAGTGCAGACGTGAACAGTTATGTAAAAGATACATGGCAAAAATGAAGAATGAAGAATCACCCTCTCTATATACACCTACAAATAGAATTATAGGTTTAGATAAGCTAGTGGAACATTTTGTTAACTAATTTTTATTGCACTTCGTCTTCTACAACATCATTGTACAATATATATTCTTAGTACAATCTTACAATATAACTACTGCAAAAGAGTTCTAATAAACAATAATAATATCAGTGTAGGGGAAAATCATTAGTGCGATACGAATAGCAATAAGGAAACCCATAGATCATTTAAAAATAATGTATTCTCAATTTAACTCCCGTTCGTGCCATTGTAAATTTAAGCAGAAATGATGTTACTTAGGATAAAAAGACGTTCACTGGATCGATTTGTATCACAGCATACCATATGGCAAGAAGACGTAGAATTACACTGCAGAGAATGTTCCGTTCTTGCGTTACCTTCGAAAAGTGCATTGGTTTCAATTGATGCAGTCCTATCTACCACGATGTCTGGCGAGAGAAAATATTCAAGGATGATTACATGAACTGTCTGTCTGGATCACATTATTATTTAAATGATCTATGGATTGGATTTTCCTTATTCTTATTCGTATCGCACTAATGATTCTTCCCTACATGCTATTGTTATTTGGCTCGCACATTTGAAGTTGGCATAAACTAAATCGTTGTTTGATTAAACTTCCATTACCCCCAATTGACATTTTATTGCTGTTATATATTGAAATTAGAAGCGCACTATTCAGTATGCTATAAGCGTAATTCAGTATTGTTTTAATGAAGGGCAATGCTGTAAATAAAAAAACGCTCTTCGATGCATGGTTTATTTATTATTCAGTAATACACACTAACACACCCTTATATTCGCGGGATTTTCAGGCATTCGAAGGATCTTGTTTGGTTGTATGCAAAATATTATTCAGGATTCCAATTATGGATCAAACTTTGCCTTGGAAACTACAATTTTAATGCACGTTTTAACACCTAGTCTCCGACTACACATATATGGCTACGTGGTAGTTGTTTTCAAACAACTTTTGCCTGAAGAACACGCTAAATTTAAGGATGTCTTGGACAAGTTACCCGAATGTTTTGATTTTGACGGCGCTCATTTTATGCATTGATCTTGAATTAAGTACAGCTTTTAAAGAATGCTCCATTACGGAAATAACCGGTCAGTATTACAGTAAAAAGGCCTCGAATGGTTCTGGCGAAATTTTAAAAACACTGGAAAGCAAAAACAAGAGTGATTGCTGGCGAAATTGTTGTGAATTGGAGCGCTGTAACTTTATGATGTATTCAACCGTTCTTAAAAAACAAGGTTCTTCCAATGTCACATGTTTTTTGTTTCGTTGTTCCGAAATAACCAAGTGTAAAACTTTGCTATTGCCGCGGAATTCCAACGGAATATCAATCATTGGAGTCAAGCAAGGTAGGGTAAAGACCAAGCATAATTGATCAGGCTAGGCTGGCTTTAGGGCTGCCTTGTATCAGCTGTTAAAAAAAATCGTTGGCTATGTGAATCGTTGAACTGTAAACAAACATATGTTGTATAGAGTTCACTGATGTGAATAGCAAATGAGACTGCGTACAGCAATATCCCATGTAGTTTGAAAAAGTGAAATGATGTATTGAGCAACAGCTTGTCAAAAAGCAATAATAGGTGCCATACATTGTCACTCTTCTGCCCTGTCAGATTTGGAAATTATCTAATTTTGAAGTCCCATATTCTTGTGAATATCACAGCAGCCTTTCTTTAACAAATTGGCAGGCAACCTACTCATCCTGACAGACATTTTTGTATAGACTGAGCCTCTAGGGTGAGGAGTTTTGTACAGACAAGGCCAATGTTTGTACAAAAAGACAGAGGTCCAACAGCTTACCAAGTAAGCCAGGTTGAAAAAAGTGTATTATATAGCATAAGGCATGTATTTACACTTGAAGCAGTAGGAAATGCATATTATGCATTTGATAAAAAATGTTACATTATTTAGTTTACCTAAAACCCTCTGGAGCCGTCTTAATAATTTCAATAGCAATTAAATTTGCCTTACAGCATTTATTTGTGTCATTTTCTTTGAAAATGTCTCTGTTTTTATCTTGTAATGGTCACATGTAATGCCACCAGTCCAATGCACTGTCAATAGAAATGCAATTAACTTGTTCAATTTTTCACAATAAAATTCTACTCTACAAGTTTACCCAATGCTTTTATCTCTTTGGTGCTGACTTCTGCCCAGCTGGTTGGTATTTCTGTAAACGAAGAAGTTCTTCTTCGTTTTTAATTGAACTCTTAGCCAACCTTAATAGGTGGTCATAAAGGCATTCCAGGAACTGAACCATGCCCTTAAAATGGAAATTCAGTGGCACAGCTAGCATGAGCATTGCAAAATAAGAAAAGTTTGGTGTCATTATATTAACGGATTTTAATGTTCCATTAAAATAGCCTTCTGTCAACCGTAACCAACATACATTGTCCACATTTTGCAAGTTTCAATATCACTGATTGTGAAATTCACTCGCGTAGACCACCGCGTTGATTGTGTGGAAGGTTAACAAAATGCTGAAATTATTGCGTATAACGTGTCCAAAGTTTGTTAACCATGTTGCGGCTGAAAATTTATATACAATTTTTTGTGAAATCCCTGGCACCTTTCGCCTCTGAGTTCTGCTCACCATCTCAATCCAGGTAGACGAGAAACACGATAGATCTTCAATTAAAGAAAGTTGACGTCATACAAAAAGGGGAACGTCTCATACCAAGATCTTTTGTTGGCACTTAATCTTCCACCGTCAACCACACATAATAAGTCGAGATTTTAACTCATGATTCATGATTTGACTTGAAACTACGTGATGTTATAAACTCCTTCGATTGTTTACAAGTTCCAATGTGCATGTAAAACGTTTTCCTCCTCAGTCGTCATTCTTTAATCGTATCATTCAACCTCGGACTGTGAATGCTAATCAGCTCCATCTACACAACTTCTAAATCGTGTCAAAAACTCTTTTTCATTTCATTTATTTACATGTTCTTGTTGGATACTTCGTTAATGTCGTTCATAATTTTTTTGTCCCCCATGGGATCTCCACTTTGATTATTGAGTTCATTTATTTACATGTTCTTGTTGGATACTTCGTTAATGTCGTTCATAATTTTTTTGTCCCCCATGGGATCTCCACTTTGATTATTGAGTTGATTATTTGATAAATTGGCAAAACACTGCATGAATTTAAAGCTGTGTAATTTCCATTTGTATATATTATTTGAATATTTCTAAAACAAAAAATGGTTTAGCAATTTGACATTTAATATTATATATCACTATCATATTTCCCGTTGTATGTAGGACATATACGTGAAAAACACAATACAAATGGTATTTCGAAAACGGTTAACATTTTTATTCAACCTTTTTAGGTAACTTCGTACCCAGGGTCTCCAACCTTCACTTTTCAAAGTGCGCGCAACCCTGAGCCTAAGGCCTAAGGGCACGAATACTTGCTTGCGCTAAATGTATTGCTTTTTTTTCCAGAGAATATCACAGAAGCCAATCCTGGCAGCAGTGAAGACGTTGTGCAGGTTAGTTCAAACAAAATATATTCTCCTAGTTAACATATCACTAACAAATTGTAATTGTTTAAAATAATAATAAAAAAACTAACAATTCATTTATCTACTCATATGTGTAATAATACGCCTCATAAAAAGGTCATTTCATCTCAAATCATCAGATTTTTTGGCAAAATGTAACCCTAAACTTCAGATTTTGTTCATTTTCACACGGTTGATAGATATAGGTACAATATGAACACATATAAAGTTTTAGGTTAATATCTTAAACGGTTGTTAAGTTATAGCTGTTTAAAAAATTGCTAATTTTAGTATTCATAATTATGAAATTTCACTTCCGGCACACTACCTAATTTCAAAATCCGTTAAAAATTTCTATTGTTCTAAGAATTTGCTACATTAAAGCTTATGTATTGGACAATAAATAAATAATGTTCAAGCGTCACTTCCGGTGAAATGGAGCTCAGTGATTGGCCGAGAAGAATTTTCAGCGGTCCATTAATTTCCCGTAATGGACCAGCGTTATCGGCGATCCATTACGAGATGAAAGACAGAGAAATTCTGAATGAAAAAGGCCAAATAAAACGCTCAAGAGAAAATTTAATTGATTTTGAAATTAATAAGACGTCTCCAGACAGTTTAGGTAAACTAAATAATTCAATATTATGAATTATTTAGTTTACCTGTACAAAATGACCTCGGTCCAATATTTCTGGGTAAAGACCTCGCTCTCGGTTAATAAGAAGTTATGCTTTGATTTCCGACAATAAATTTCCACTTTCGGTTATGACACGTTTTGACTTTTTAAATGACACGTTTTAAAACTTTGCATGTGTTCATTTTGTACCTATATCTATCAACCGTGTAAAAATGAACAAAATCTGAAGTTTGGAGTTACAACCCTCTAATGATTTGACATGGAATGACCCAAAAACAACACCTTGTGTACTTTTCCTCCTATAAAGTATTTTTTAATCTAACATGCAAACGTTGCGGAAAACAAGCGGACATTTTTGTCCATACGTTCCTTGCTTCTGAAGTCGTTTCGTCATATTTAAACATATTGTAAGTTTATTTTAAATTATTCATAATTACAGTAGATGTTTCAATCGTACATTTCAGCATAAAATATATAAGCTGCTATTGAATTCAAGCGTTCATTCATCCAAAAGTGGAATAGCCATCACCAGTACAACAATAAACACAGACAAACCTGAGAACGTTACATTAAAATTCAATAAAACAATTAATATTGATAAATTTGGAGTTAAAACAACTATTCAGTCACCATCACCTAAGAACACGCATTCACCAAGCAGTTCTGCCAATTTAACAACTCAAGGCCTCGTGGAATCCATAAGTAACAACAATTATCCTACATCAATGGTTACCAGCTCACAGTCAAATGCATTGGAAATTTTAACTTGGTTCAACCACTCTTTTTCTATCCACCATCCGTTTAAATCCACACACAACAGCAGTCATTCCACACTATCCTCATTAATACATTCAACACGTTCATCACAAACGCATACACTCGGAAATCGTTCATCACAAACGCATACATTTGGAAATCGTTCATCACAAACGCATACATTTGGAAATCGTTCATTGCAAACGCATACACTTGGAAATCGTTCATCACAAACGCATACATTCGGAAATCGTTCATCACAAACGCATACATTCGGAAATCGTTCATCACAAACGCATACACTTGGAAATTGGTCATCACAAACGCATACACTTGGAAATCGTTCATCACAAACGCATACACTTGGAAATCGGTCGCGATCAAACGGTTCGTCATCACATAATGTTGGTTGGCTGTCAGGATCATATTCAAACCCTAATGCTGGAGCACACTCATTCAATCATCAAACCCATTCTCTCAACAAAATATCACATACATTGAGTTCCATCTCTGTGGGTTCGTTGGTCAATTCACTGCAATCAAATCCAGATTCCGAGGTTGTTATGACATCACTATCTTCATTCGTACGTGTAAGTGAAACTATATAAATTACGAATTAAATTATGTTACGTTATAAATCACATCCATCTGATGGTGGTCAACTTGCAGAGAGAGAAACAATCCCCAGGGCCAGAGGGGAAGGGAGAAAGGTGGTATATTAAGGTACAATATACGAAATAGGGGAGTATACTAGCTGTATCCGCAGGGAAGAGCCGGTAAAGTCGATTTTTACTCCTGTTGTGTTTTTTTCTTGTTAAAAGGGCTTTACAGCATGGTCGACCACCGTCAGCTCCATTTTCTTATGAATAGTCGGTTAACTTAAACCATTTTTTGGAAAAATAAAAATTTGTATGCAAACTGATTAATCGAGTTCATAAATGCATCGTTTTGGGGGTATTTCAGATAGACGCGCTCATGTACATTGGACGTTATCTTTTTTTCCTTTTTAGTCCCATCACAGTGCTGAAACTATGCTATTAAGCACAATACCAAGTCTAGATGCAACAAGTAATATCTCTCATGTGTCTCAATTAGATGCACCAAGCAACTTGCATAAAAATCACCACACAAGTGAGTAAATGTCCACGACGTCTAACCAGCTAAAAATGATCGCAATTTTCATTCCACGCAGTCTAGTTCGCTGCAAAGCACCGTAACCCGAATCAAACGAGAGGCAAGTTATTGCACGTTTTACTTCTGAAATATAGAAAAGATGAATGACTAATTTGATAAAGAAGCTCAGACTGATAAAGAAAATGTAATTTGTTTGTAATACACAACTTTCACATAAATATTTGACTTCATAATATTCGCATGCTTTTCACTATGCTTGTGTTTTATTTAGAGCATTCATTTGTCTTTTCCATGTCTCAAAAGTCGATGACGATATCGACGGCTTGCGGCTCGTTTGATTCTGGTTTCAGAGTTATTACTCTCCATATGTTAGATCGGTCTAACCGCGTATCAACGAACCGCACTGTTATGACCAGCCTTTTATTCTTAGTATGCAATAAGGCAGGCATTGCAGTGGCGTAGGCTCAATTCATGCGGGCGAAGTTGCATCTTCCGCAACACTTCCGAGTTTACCTTATGTTTCTCCATACTATCGTACCTGAATTTATATTTTTATGTCTTTTTGGCGAAGTTGGATTTTCCGCAGCACTCCTTTTGCAACTGTCTTTTGCATGACCTAAACTCAACAAATTTCGTATTCGTTCCGGACAGTTCTAACAATAAATTGCTAATGTTATGAGTAGCATTTTTGCGGCCATGAAAGTAATTACATGATCTGAGGCCGGGTATAGTAATTCGACTGTTATTCTATTAGAATAAACAACTTAGGAAACCTTTCATGAAATGGCGATGTTACATTAGAGGAAGAAAGGCCTTCGGGCGAAATTAGTTTTTGAGGTATTTTTACCCAATGTTTAATCGAGAAATAATTTCTGTTATTGCCGCACCCCCCCCCCCCACCCCTTTTCTTTTTTCGAGAACCAGAAGGTCATGCCATCGACTTTATGCAGTAATTGCAACCAATGGTGGCCTACCTTGACGCAGGTAAAAGGTAAATTAGAGGAATGAAGAGATCTGGTGTGGTTTTATTGTCTTGCCCTGTTTTTCAAATGTATATAGACAAGTGTTGAAAGCCGGCGATCAAAAACTTCGCTTATTGAGCCTTAATTACTAGTAAGACACATGCTTTAACCACTGTGTTATCATTTTTTAGGATCTACGTCATCACCGATTGCATCGCATTCTTCAAATAGTGTCCATAAAACACACCGAAAATTCTCAGAACAGAAAAGTCACACAACACGTGTATCGTTGGTAATCTCGTTAATTTTTGGAATTTTTTTCTTTGGCACTGTGGTGTTCATCATTGGTCGTCGCTGGAGCGAGCAGTGCTTTAGAAGAGGTTACTCTCGTGTTGATTATCTTTTGAATGATTATGATTAATCGAATATTGTGGTATCCCAAGTACTTAATGTAAGTAATAGTTGTAATAGAATGTCTCAAAAATAAGGGCATATAATGTAGTCATTGAATTAGTGGTAACTCTGGGAACTTTAGGTGGAGGTATTGAGTTTGTGATAGACCATTCGGTGATAAATAGGGTGTACTTAAAGGGAACCGTTGGATATAGTATAAAGATGCAATTTATCTGAATCAGACAGTAGATTAAATTATTAAATTCACTATAAATTATTTAATGACATTTGCAGCTAAATATTTTCTGATCATGATACAGTGGTCTGAGTATTTTATCAGCAATTACTATCGTTTAAGTGTTTAAATTCTTCGGCAATGAGTCATCATGTAAAACAACAGTGCTGATCAGATTAAGCCTGCATTAAGCAGCTAGACTCGTGACGGAAGTGGCTCACATTTCAGGAAACCTTAACAGTGGTTAAGGGTTGCATTAACTTCCTTTGGCTTTGGCTTTTTGTCAACGATAAGAAAAGCATATTACTTGATTCCACTCCATGCATACAGTATCGTTTTCCTAAAATCGATTGTTCAAACGTATAGCAGCAAGGAATTATTGGATTATGTCTTGATGATAAATATTGGCGGATTTGGCAAAAGAATGCTCTTAAATCTAAGTTTTAATTGTACTGAAAGAAATGGTCGAAGTAGAGCCTATTTACGGAAAATTAGAAATTGAAAAAAATTTAACTCCCTGTATAATCGCGAAAATTATTAAATCCACAAAAGTTGCCTCACGCTGTTTTGAAGATGTTCCTCCCTCTTGGTGGTCCAGTATATAGATAGTACTCTGATATACTTATATATATATCACCTTTTATGGTTCGTGCATGTCAGAAAAAAGAGATGATGACCAATCCGGAATCCTCAAATGTTTCTATTCCAAAAACCAATGAAAAACAAACTTGGTATTTACCCTAACAACAACAACTGACTACTAATATCTACAGGCTTACTCAGCAGGTAAAGCAGTTTACGACATCCCTGGAGCTAAGATCGAGTCTGGCTCGTAAACCATTTTATGTTCAAATATAAATCAATTATAAGTGCACTTTCACGATTATTATAACAAGCTGTCGTGATTTCTGTCTGTATCTCTGAAAGAGGATTACATACTTAGTAAAGGAAATTTTATTTAATGTTATGTCTGATTGCTAATTGTTAGTTCCAGACGACCAGAGTTGAACAAATGACACTGCTTCAATATCGATTTCATTGGCGTCTTCGGCGATTTGAAGCACAGCGTGAACTCTCTACACTCCAAACAATAATGACATGCCGAGGCACGCTTGCCATGAGGAAACACGATAACAAACTTCAGGAATAAGCACGAAAATGTGTTTTATTTTTCTTCAATATCAAACACAAACAATGATATCTATTACACAATCCAATTTCGGTTCAAATATTGTATGTACATATCAAAATATTAAAACTGCTTTGTTTGTAACGGGCGAATACAGGTTGAGACTTGAGACAATGCTTGAAGTTTATGACATGTGCTGACAAGATGCAAAGCAGATCTAAGCACTTGAGCAAAAAGTTTTAAAGTCTTATGAGTAGAAATCATCTGCACAGTTTTGTACGTAGAAACGGTCATGGTTCGAGGCAAACACCGAGTGTTTTATTTAGCGTTGCAGTTAAGTGCTTAGGCTTTAAATAAACAAGAAAAATTTGCATGTAAACAAGAAATGTAAACGAATATTCAATTTGAGTTGCGGGTACCGTCAAATTTGAGTGTTAAATATCAGGAAGTGACGTATTTGCATGAATATTATATTGAGTCTTGAAGCATTGTTGAGTCTTCTATTTACGCTGTGCGTGTCCACAGAAGGTTTGAACTGTATTGTCTGAGTAAGTTGCGAGTGCAGTCATCACGAAAGATCCAATATGGCAAGCGTAGAAGCATATTATGTTGGTTTGGTGAATTTTCAAAACAAATACTTGACGGCCGAAAGTTTTGGCTTCCAAGTGAACGCGAGCGGGGTGAACTTGAAGAAGAAGCAAATGTGGTTAGTCGAACAAGATGGGGCTCATATTTTTCTGAAAAGTCATTTGAATCGCTACCTCACCGCAGACAAAAACGGCAAGTTAGCGGGCGAGGCAGAAGAACGCGAAGAAGACGCAAAGTTCACTGTGTCATACCAAGCCGACGGAAAGCTTGCATTGAAAAGTAAATACGATCGCTACCTCGGAGGCGAGGAAGACCAAATCAACGCGTTTGCAACTTCTATAGGCAAGGCTGAATCATGGACACTTCAGTTGGCGATCCATCCTCAAGTTAACTTGCTACACGTGGTCCGAAAACGCTATGCACATCTGGAATCGGACGAAATCCAAGTATCAGAAGATATTCCTTGGGGCGGTGACGCTTTGATAACACTGGAGTTCAAGCAGGGAAAATACGCGTTGCTTTCCAGCGATTCTCGCTACCTGAATGCAGACGGATCGCTGGACGCAGCCCTCACAGCCAAAGCACAGTATTTGATCGAGTTTCACGAAGGTAGGGTTGCATTCCGTACCCACGAAGGCAAGTTCCTCACTTGTGTTGGCAACAAAGGAAAGATTCAGTCCAGCAAGAAGAATGTCGCTGGCAGAGACGAGATATTCGCCCTGGTTGATAATCATCCGCAGTGTATGCTTACAGCTCAGAATGAGCGAATGGTCTCAATCAGACAAGGTAAGATTTTGAATAGATTCTTTGATAAGTCAACAATATACGGAATTGACTTTCTAGTTTTGTCCTGGAATATTTTGTTGTAGATCATTTTATTACTTATTAGTTGTCCAGGATCAATCGAATGGGCTATAATAAAGAACGAGGCATTACATATGCGATAATTTAATGTTCTCTTACTTTGCCACCGATAATATGTTTTACAAAGAACATGCCATCTGCTCCACTGGGTAGCGCTTCAACAATGAAAGGAAGTGTCTGTCGGACGAGTTCTCACACGAAGAATTAATAATTGCCTTGAACGATATCGCCCTAAATCTATTTACCCGCGCTTAAACTATCTAACAACTTCAATCCGGAGTCCACCTTAAGCAAACACATCATCGACTGGGATATTTACCACCACACCCCCTAATAGTGTTTTAATACTGAAGATTTAGCATCTTTCCGCGTTTGTATTGGACCAAGTGCTTGGACACGCGGATGCTGCTGAACTGATTTTACGTAGCGGCAACAGTATTTTTTCCGCAATTTTTTGTGCCAGGTTTAGAGAGATACGTAACCGACAATGTTTTCTGTTAGGTCTTACCATCGCAGACGTAAAAATAATCATGAGAAAATTTAATCAAACTCCATTTATTCTTCGTGAGATGAAACAATAGATGCATGAAACATGATAAAAGGAGATTTGGCAGCAGCAACATATAGAGACGGAAATAATACAGACTAATTACCGCACTGCCTTTCGACGCCCGTGTTTGACTGCATGACCACGAGCCTTTGCTTCACCGAAAAACTTCATGTATAGTTGTGAAAGTGTAACTTGTGAAGTTCTCTACAATTTGCTTGGCTAACTTTGACAATGATGCTTATGCTTGCGATGAATTTCAAATATTTTTAAATCGTATTTAGACCAAAAAAAAGGGCTCATGCCAGGATAAAAGGGAAATATGATAGCCATGTGTTTAAAGAGTCAACAATATTGTAATATCAAATTTCTTATATTAAAGAATTGAACAATATTTTAATGTATCACTGTTTGAAAACATAAAACTCGCAAAAATTATCAGGAATGATTAATTCTTCAGTGTTATTTTACGTATGCTTGTATCAGGCAAAGAAAGAATCTTGCTGTGTCTTTGTTGTATTCGCAGTGTGAATAATTTGAATTTCTTTGTTCAAAAAACATCATGAATTATTAACTGGTGGCCTTTGGATACTTATGCAAAACTGTTGATAGAGAAAAAAGGCATCAATGATAAAATATTAACAAGGTTACTCTATTTGCATGCTGAGAAGTTTTTTAGGACAAGGTCTAACAGCAAATCGGGCGTAGCAATATTTGGCAGGCACGAATGTAAGGCGTAGCTATTCTTACTTAATTCCGATGTCTCAAAATTCAGGAAGTATGGTATGACTTTTTGAAATAATCCGGAAGTGTCAAAACTAATAACTTCTCGACCCAATATCTTAATTATAAATGCGTTTTATTAGTTTCTTAACTAAACAAAGAAATGAATAAACGAAACATATGGAACACGCTCGAGTTTTGGAGACAAATTTTACTAATTATTATTATTCTGATATTTATGATATTATTCAGCGGTCGGTTGTATCAAGCCCGTTTAGCTTATAGACTAGGTTAAGTTCACAATAGAAACCAACTCTATCTTTTATTCAACAAGCAAACAAAATGTTTTTAACCTTAATACAAAGATACTGTTTACAACTACATATTCAGTGCATAAAATTCAAGTTGACTCAACCAAGAGAGATGAAAGAGTGTTATTTAATTTTGACTTATCCACCGGTTAAGTCAATGTTAAGTTAATGCTGAGAAAATTCAACAATTTGAAGAGTTCAGGCCCGGTTACACGGTGCAATTTTTCTTGCAACTCTTCTAATGCAATTCTACTTTTAAGAGATATAAATTAGTGAAGAGTTTTCAAAATGTGTGTAAGAAACACAAAAGTTTCGTAGTTGCTAACCGTTTACATCTCTTAAGAGTATAATTGTATTGCAAGTTGCATGAAAAATTGCACCACTTTACGTTTCAATGGCGGGTATTTTATCTCGCCGTGTAGTGCAAGGTAAAAAAGTATTTTTACGCCAAAGTTACGCCACACAGATCATGTCAACCAGGTGGCAACGTTCTCAACATCAGACAAGCAAAAAAACACGCTGGATGATTTATGTCTTCCTATGACGCAACAAGGTCTTGCGGGGGAGGCAGCGCTGGCCACTGAACTCTATATATAGTCGCTGAAAACGCGATCTTTTATGAATTGCAATAAAGCGAATGGTAACAATTCTGGTCTGACTTCTGTGTGTGACCGCGGCGGGTATAGATTCTGTGTCCTAGATAAATTCAACCCACCAACAGTTAATCATTTCATTTTCGTACGAGCCGCTAGAGAAGAATTTCAAATTTCAAGTTCGACTAGATTTGTCACTTTAATAGTTTGATAAAACTTTAATCAATATTCGATCACCTTGCAAAGTCCTGTCACAAAAGGCTTAAACGTGTAAGCCAAGGGCTTATGGTTTCCTACAACAATACTTAACTTTGATGCTAGTGCAAACTTTCCGTGTACCCATGTATTGAATAAACCTTGTCTCAACTTAAGCATGTCGCACGTACTTGACTTAGAGAACGCGTGCATATTCAGAAAAGCCTACGTGACATAAACTTTATGATAACACCTGTCCCATTCAGAGATTCATGCAAAAAATATTCATATGGAGCATGTAGTTATAATCTTTTTAAGAATAGCTCGAAATCCCCTTCAATATAGAATCATGACATATACGAAGTTGTTTGCATTTGATGTTTTAGGGTGTGCTTGAAGCCCTAGTTAAGATTGTGGGATTATTTCATTAAGGGCGGTGAAGGGGAGGGAAAGAGAAGCCAAAGTGTTTTGACGGACAAAAAAGACAATACATCTGCATGTGTATTAAACAGATGAGACACTCTGTCTAACTTCTTAATTATCCACCCATGATGAAGTCAATATCTTTGACTTTTAGGAAATGAGGTAACCGCGAACCAACGATTTGAAATGACCGATAAAGAAATTTTCCAGATGGAATTTGATCCCAAGAAAGCCGGCAAGATTTGCATGCTCGCAAACACCAGAGAGTACTGGGTCTCAAATGGCGACGTCAAGGCGTCGAGTTCCGAACGTGTTGACTCGGCTTTCTTCGGAATTGATTGGCACGGCAGCCACGTCAGTTTCCAGGCATCCAGCGGCAAATACGTAACCATTAAACCGAACGGAAAACTTTCGCCGTCTGCAGACGCGGTGGGAGAGAAAGAAAAGTTCCTGCTGCAACTCATCAACAGGCCCCTGCTCATATTGCGTTGTGAACACGGCTTCGTGGGCATGCGTGGTGCGACAACGGCACGTCTCGAATGCAACCGAAGTTCATACGAAGTCTTTAAGCTTCATTTCGAGGATGGGAGTTATAAGCTCGAGGGAAGAAATGGGAAATTTGCCCAAATCGACGGAGAGTCAAATATTAACCTCGCAGGTACTTCGGAAAGTTGTGCCACGTTTCAATTCGAGTTTCGAGAGCACACGAAGATGTGTATAAAGGCTAACAACGGCAAATATCTGAAAGGAGAAAGTAATGGTGCATTCACAGCCAACGGTGAAAAGCCTGGAAAGAATACCTTGTGGGAGTACTGAACGGACTGAGAACTAGTCAAAAACCGTAATTGTGGGACTGTGTATAGTTTCCCACGTGAGTTGAATTATTAATGTGAGGAAATTTAGCGAAATAACAAACTGTGAGAAATATTATCCTTCAAGTAGATACCTAATCCTAGATAACAAAACATTTTCACTCTTGGAAAATTGACTAGGTTTATACATTAATAAGGTTTCAGAATTTCAAACGTCACGTGATAGTTCCAACTACTTCACAGTGACTTTTAGCTTCTCTTTTTTGATAAAAACAAAATATTAATAAAACAATAAACGCAAACAATTTTACTCTTTCAGTAACTTTAAAATTTTTTTGTAATACCAAGAATGAATATTTACATGAATTTAGGTAGGTTGGAATAAATTGATGTTAAATAAAATGTTTTAATTATTAATCGAATGAAAAACGACTTTCCGAACTTGTTTTACATTCCTAAACACCACACATTCAGAGTAACAGACCTTTGTTACAATGACGTCAAACTCGGAAAACCTTGTGTCAAACAAGAGATTTGATTGGCTCCACAAAACTAACGAGTCCAATTAAACCTCGTTTAACATCAGGCTTTCCGCCTTTGACGTCATGGGAAAGATGGGATATATACCATTGTGTATACCAGATGACATTATATATTGGGTCTCAACAGAAGACCCTGAGAACGAGGTTGAGTCTCAGCCTGGTCTCAGTGAGGACCTTTGTGTTGTCTGAGATATCAGGAATAACCGCGGGATTTTTATCGTGGTTCAAATGTACAACATGTCGGCGCCGTTGAAAATTAAGGGTTAAGGCCTAAAGTTTTCACCATCATTTTTAGTTTTCACAAATCGTGTGCAACATTTCAGCTGGATATGGTCCCCATCCTGTAATACCTAACACCATAAACACTCAACTCATGTATAATTTAAAATATTATTTATTACACTTCGATACCTAGTCATAAAAATAATCTTCACGTATTTACACTTGCCAATATGTTATATACTAACTTTATGGGAATGGACTGGTACTTATTGTCGAACTTCTCAAATTGAAAACATTTGCACACAAGATGATCTTGAGATCATCGGGAGGGAGGATCTTAGGGCCGGTTGTTTAAACGCGGGATAGCCTAACCCCAGGTTAGCACAAACCATTTTTCCTGCATTACGAGGCTGGATTAATGGATATATGCTTTTAAAAAGCGAATCCCAGGGTTAGCTCTAATTCTGCCTTAATTAAGCAACCGGCTTGACCCTGATTGTGAGTTGAATTTTACAACACAAACCTTGCAATAAATTTTAGCAACAGTATAGATCAGGATGATTACCCAGATCTTTTTTAGAGGTACTGTTTTCTAAGGCATTAGACTTTCAATTAAGAAATGACCATACAGAAACACAAAAGCAAAAGAACTCTGAAATTCAATCCAGGGTCAACGTTGATCACGCTCTGAACAACCGACTCCCAATGGTTGGTTTAAATTTCAAAATGCCTATACAGTTGTGTATAAAGTATATTGAGTCTACTATGTGATATATGTATTTACATTAATAAAAGACTCATCGACTGCATCCATATAGCTCCCTCTATACCGAGTGTCCAACCCTGTGCATACTATTGGTTGATTGGTTCTACCTAAAGGAAGAAATACTGGAACAATTAAAAAAGAATGCATAATGCATTAAGATTCCATCTGTTCAGAGCAGCAAATAGAACATAGCCAGGCGAAAAATTTGCTGCGCTGAAGTACATACAGTGTATAAGGGCTTTTTGCATGTTGAAACCAGCGTAAATAAAAATAAACCAAGATGGCGGTAAGTTCAAACAAATTATACTGGGTAATGAGAAGAAGACTCATTCAGGTTTCTAAACTCCAAATGGACCTTCGGTTGTTACATCGACGTTGGTATTTTAAAAGACATTGGCAACGAAAATTTTTATTGGCCAAATCTGTTTAAATGACCTAGGAAATACTGAATTTCATTATCTTCTTACCTAAAAATCTCTATCCCAACCGGTCAAATCGTCAACAGGTACTTCTTCATCCGGTGGATAATCGTCGAAATTCGATGCATCTGTCACGGATTTCACCTGGGTAATATAAAGAATCTCATAAATTTTGGGGATTTCATCGCTTTACTGATTTTGTGTTTACATTTATACATCATAGCTAAGACACGAGGTACATCATGGCTAACACACGAGGTACATCATGGCTGACACACAAGGTACATCATGGCTGACACACCAGGTACATCATGGCTGACACACAAGGTACATCATGGCTGACACACAAGGCCTAATCTGGGATAAAGAAGAGAAGAAGCTTTATTATAATATACCTTGGGTATAATTGGCGGTGTGAGTTTCCTTTGTCTAAGACCTTCCCAGTTGAAGCCGTCAAACCATCGATGTTTCATTATATCTTTCAAACCACCTTTCTGATATCCTAACCTCTCTGCTGGGTTATCTCTGTAAGCAATCAAGCAACAGTTTAGTGTCAAATGCGGAGATGAATGACAACAGAAAAGGATGTAAGATTCTATTAGCACGCTTCAAGTTAGTACTGATAAATTAACAGAATTATGATGCTTCAGTCACATAATTTACTTCATGCTGACAACTCAATTTGGTTGGGTTTATGTACGTTCCCCGTAAATGCCCGTTTAATTAAGGCTCGTTTACACTTGCGATTTTTGCTGCGATTTAATGTCCGATTTTCTCCTTTCGATAGATGTGAACGAGTAATTAGTTATGAATGTTCTGAATATAAGACTAAGAGCTCTTATTTGAACTTCAGTAACTAATTCGCTCGTTTACATCCATCAAAAGTGGAAAATCGCACATGAAATCGCAGCCAAAATTGCAAGTGTACACGGGCCTCTCTAGGGTTGTCGAGCAAAGTTTACCTGCAAAGTTTCTTGATCAAAACGTGGGCATTTCTGGTAATCTTCCTTGGAAATTCAATCATGTCCATTCCTCGAAGAATTATATTGTACGTCTTCATTGGGTCTGAGCCACAAAATGGAGGACTACAGCGAGGTAAAATTGCATTGTTAGCTTATTTTTAATATTAACTGAAGAAGATATTCGACGACATGCATGATGATTTGCATCAAAAGTCATCAATATAACGCTGTTGGAATTATTTAGCTCATTATTTCGTCCGAAGGCATTCCTACGCACTGTACAATGTGTTAGGTGTTTAAAGAAGACTTTAAATGAACTTTCATGAAGTTAAAAACGAAATATTTAAAGTTAGTACATGCGATAACTGTGACAGCTAGACCAGAGATGGTCCATATGTAGGATGAAATAGGACCTTCTAGAACATATTAATCCATTAACGCAAATTTATAGCTAACTTGCGTATAATTTTTTTATTTTAACCAATATTTATCGTAAATATGTCACTCTTTCCGCTGTAAAATATTCTAGATGTGCATTTGTACATTTTCTGAATTGTATATATAAACAAACTTGGTTGACCGCACCGAGGTTTGAAGTAGCAACATGTACTAGATCCGCTATTTTTTACAAATGCATTAAAATAAAAGCCATGCAGGTATAAACAACTATATGCATCCATACCTTCCTGTTAACAGTTCATACATTAAAATACCAAGAGACCAATAATCTGCGGACAAATCATGACCCTGTTATCAAATGGAGAAAAAACGACTTTATTATTACTATTGCCATTTATCAGGAAAATTTTGAAGAGGACAATTTGTGATAAGATCAGTTGTTTAGATAGCACTATCATCACTACCATGCTACTCCCACATATAATGACGTCTTAAACATCTCATATACCAAGGCCATAAATCAGGCTTAAGGTGTGATTAACAACATTTGTTAATTCGTTTTTAGCCGGCACATTTAGAACTCATTCTAAGTTATTCTATCAACAGCTAGTGATCTTACAGTATTATTGAAGTTTAACGCGTTTTAAACGACTTTATTTCAACTGCCGTTACCTCGGCCATTATCGTTATTTACGCACAGCGATTGCACAATACAGTCTTTGATGGCAGGTTAGTGTTTCGTATATTTACAATATATGCAGATTGTTTTACCTTATTCAAAATGATCTCTGGGGCGACGTACTCAGGCGTACCACAAAATGTCCAGGTCTTTCTACCGAAACCAATCTTCTTTGCAAAACCAAAGTCGACCTAAACATTCCAGGGCGTACAAATTAGTACAAAAACCCAGCGCAAACTTTCACACCTCAACTTGAACTATTAATTTTGTAGCAAGAGAAAAAAAACAACAACATAGTATTTTGCACAAAAAGACGAGACATGCGATTACTTACTAATTTACAATAACCCTTGTCATCTAATAATAAATTTTCTGGCTAGAAATTGGAAGAAATGCGATAATCAGTAGTGTAAATAGGCTGCTTTCTCAATTCCACTTTTCCAGGCGAATACGTAATCTGGTAATCCCGTTATTAATACACACAGAAGGTTAGACTGTATACTATCTTTGCTAATACTGGATAATTCTTGTTTTAAACTGATTTTCCTAGAAGTCTAGAAGTCCAGTTTGGATCATCTAATACAAATACTAGGATACTAATTCATATTATACTGGTTGGATCTAAAAATCTTTATTTAATGTCTGCATGAGTTTGAAATTAATTGCAATCTTACTGGTTTTCTCCAGATTCGGTAAGAGACAAAGTAGGTGCGACAATATTATAGACATAGCAAGGCATAGCTTACCTTGAGATCCCTATAGACTATTCCTTTTGAGTGAAGATAACTAAATGCTTCCAAGACACAAGCGACATAGAATCTACACGTACCATCGTCAAAACATGATCTAGAAATGTTCACAAATTATTAAAACAAACTTGTTCAGTAGTATTTTAATTTTCCTCTTCAGACTGCTATAGCGGTCATCAGGTTTGAAAGATTTCATAACCGAAGAAAATTGAAAAAGGATTTTCTTACTTATCTCTAAGGACTGTCCATAATTCACCTCCAAGACAGGTTTCTAACAGCATATATAAATATTTATTATCCTTATATGTTTTATACAATCTATATGAAAAGAAAAATATGCATATTAGGACAATTAGGAATACACAAATCTGTATTGACGGAATGTGATATTGAGGTGTTTTTTTTTCTCTCACCTAACTATAAATGGACAATTCGCTTCAAACATAATCTTTTTCTCTGACATGATATGATCTTGTTGCCTTGTCTCTACAATGTGGTGTTTCTTCAGTTGTTTTAAGGCGAACGTTCTCTTATCTTTCGCTGTCTTTACCAGTTCAACTCTTCCAAAACCACCAACGCCAAGCGTCTTGATGACTGTTAAATCTTCCAGAACAATATGGGCGAACTCATTCACTTGTTCCTTTAATTTCCTGAAACGTCATTGGTACGTCAATATATATTTTGTCATTAGTGTCACGCTTTTTATCTATCGTTATGTACTTTTGCCTATTGATTGATTCCTTTTATGTTGTTTTAACCCTAGCTGGGTTAGCCTCTCAGTAAGTCACTTACTCTGCTTTAACTGCGTCTGTGGCAGTTGGCGTGTCTCTATAGTCTTCAACTTGCAGGCCGTTAATAAACTGAGAGTAAGCCCTAGATAATAAAAGGGACAGCGATACCATTGAGATATATGTTTATGAGACAAATTTTGCCTTCAGAGAATGCAGTTACTCACTCTCGATCCAGGACCAGACAATGCGTTCCACCTTTTCCAGCAATACAATTAGCAGTTCGGAAATCGTCACTAGAGAATCAATAAAAATATTTTAATTTTTTTGCTACTCCGATTAGAATATCAATATTTGTAGATAATCTTTGACTATACCCTTTCAGAGCTTTTTCTCCGAAGTATTGCCCAGTCGTCATTTCTCGTATCATGGTCGGCTCGTCATGGACATTCTGTCTCATCGTTACTATGATCTATATAAATATAAATATGAAGATATTTTACAGCCTTGTCACCACCACGCACTATTATCCATAATCGTAATAACCATCACAATAATTCATCATCATTAATAACGTCGTCATCGTAATCCCATTACCACCACTATTTTCACTAGTACCTTCACCATCTTTACCATTACCTCCATAACTTTAACCAATAACTCCACCATCTTCACTATTAACTCCATAATTTTCATCATTACCTCCACTATCCTCACCATTGCCTCCATCATCTTCACCATAACCCCTCATCTTCATCACCTCCACCATCTTCACTATTAACTCCATAATCTTCATCATTACCTCCACCATCTTCATCATTACCTCAACTATCTTCATCATTACCTCCACCATCTTCATCAATATCCCTCACCTTCATCGCCTCCACCATGTTCATTTTACCTCCTTCACATCCACAAACACAGTTATCATATTTCTTATCACCTTGCACACCCAACTCAACTTACCGTTCCTTTCTTGATAATAAAGAAAGTCTCTCCTCTCGCTCCTTGTCGAATAACATATTCTCCTTCATCATAATGCTGTTCATCAATTACATCAGCGATCTTCAACAAAGCATCCTCTCCGAGTTCCTTAAGAAGTGGGACACTAAAGAAATGCCAAAACAGAAAACATTAAATATTATTCCACCGTTGGTAGTCAGACCATATTTTCATTTCCAGTGAAATGCAATTACTTTGTTTCCAAGTAACCTTTAAAAATTCATATGGTAATCTTTGGTCACCGCAGTCCAATTCAATCCAATTCCCTCTACAGTGGTTATGAATTGCAATTCCGTCACGAAGTAAAAATGTTTATGGAATCAAACTGACCTCTTTAGGAACTCCATATGTTCCGCCTGTCTCATAAGACCTGTTTTCATCATAATTGTTTGGAACGTCTGACGATCTATTACCCATAACGATGCGTTTGTCGTGGCTAAAAAGATCATAGAAAAAGACAATTTGACATTTCGCAGCCAATCGGAGCAACACAAGTTCGCAGTTTTTCACCGTATCAATTTATGAATTACCTTTAACCGTAGCTGTCCTTGTACAGTTGTACAAAATAGCCAATTCACCAAACGCCTTTCCTGGACCCATGTTGCCCAGAACCTGCCCTTCCTTTGTAACCACACACTTGCCATCTAAAAAAACGCATAGCAGTGTTAAGTTTGTTAGCAAAATTGCAAATCGAGTTATATGGAGTAATACAACAATCGACAAAAACAACGATAGTTTCAGGCGAACTCTGAGCCTAAAATTGGAAGAGATTTTTCGCTCAGCGCCAACAACGGCGTGCTTTTTTGGTTAGGGTTAACAAATGATCCCATTAATTTCTAATACATCTTCCCCCGTCCAGGGTCAAGTATAAATAACACCCGAAAACCTTTGCAGAAAATTATTGTAATTTTTTTTTTAATTTCACTTACCTTCTAATACATAGAGATGCGCGCCAGTATCACCTTCCTGTATGATAACCTGATCTTTTTTATACTTCGTCTCGTACATACACTCGACGACTTCTCTGATTTGAGATGGCTCCAGGTTCTTGAGAAAATCATTGTCGAGTATGGCTTCTTTTATCAAATCTTTTGATCTAATGAAACACACATATACGACCTTATTCAAGTCTTGAATATCGATCTTAATATAAATCCTACATGTCGTCGTGATGCTAACACTAATCTCTTAAACGGGTAACTCCGCCTATAACAACTGATTAACTATTCAAAAAGAAACTCGCAAGAAAATCGTTTCCACAGGCAGTGTAAAACAAACACACCTGGCCCATATCGCAACGAAATTGTGTTATTCCATGAAATCGTACGCCTACACTATTTGCTTTAAAAATTTGATTACATTACCAGATGTTACTTAAAATTATCTTTTGGAACCCAATCGTAATTTTGCAGTGGATTCATTAATTATTATTGGAATCTTTCAATTAAATCACTAAATCCTTTCATTACAATCTCAGAATCTAATTATTATCTGGACATTGATGAAAAGCATAGCAAATTCAAAGCTAAAACCTTTCGGACATATTCAGGAAAACCCTACCCCCTACACTAAAAATAAAACATAAATCGTCAAATTACAAATAATTCATGACCAAAATTAAACAAAAAGCAGAATTATCGTGATTCATTAGTTCATAATATAAAAGTACACCCCAAACCATACACACAATACCACGTTGTTACTAATGCAGCAAAATAATTCAAACAGGGTGTATGAAATTACGGAGTTTCCCATGGAATTTTCCCAAAAATTTCATTTAAAAAACTTTAAATAGCCTCTAATTGTATTAATTGTATTCACATGCGCCCAGAATTTTCCTGGAAAAACAATTGGAAAATTTGATGGGGCGTTTTTTATACACCTTACATATCTATCGTTTCAGCCTGGTTTTAATTATCATTTGAAATCAGATGTTTTATGAATTTGATTGATTCAGGACTTAATTGATTCTACGTGCGGGTGAGCAATTAGTCTCGTTATAGAAGGAAGAAGTGTTACTGTAGCCTCAATGATTCAGCCATATACTCCCTTTATACGATAATAATGAATATTGGAGATGACTCTTTGTGTTCGGTTTTATGGTAGATCAGTGTTAAGCTTACAAGGATCCGCCGATGCAGTATTGTATCAAATTTGTACAGGTGATGGAGAATGTAAACAATATGCTATCCTCGTGGCGGTTTTTTTGTGAGGAGGTCGGAGCGCATAGAATTGTCAAAGATTTCCTGCGTAGATAAAACTCAGTATCTCTTCGTTTTTTCTCTGTATCTATAACTATTATAATACATTGCGCACAACACCGAAATTTTGCATATAAATTTGCACACAACACCCCCACGAAGCAAACTGAAAATTCCACCTGACTGAAGGCTGTGCCTGACGCCCTGACCGCCCGATTCATAATGACAAGATGCAGGAGGCATAATCTCCACGTGCTTTAGAATTTCAAATGTTTTTTTCCACAAACTGTGTCAACTGTGTCTTAAATATTGTACACCTCGTCGTTGGTTTATTATAAAAGACGCTTGAAATCATACTATGCAAGGTAATAGAGATCAAATCTGTATATGCTCGCCGTTTTAATGCAGAATTTAAAGAATTTTGTTATGAAAAACGCACCTGGCAAAAATGGGTCGGTATTGATACCTAAAGTGAATGTGTTTAAGTGTTTCACGTTCATAAACAACTTTTCTATTCTTTTAGTGCAAGTATTTTATTACATATATAACTATTACAATATGAAAGGTAAGCGAAAGAGTGTTATTGCTTTCTTGTACAAATTTTAGCATCAGTAAAATTGTAACAACAGTAAGAACTTCATTTATTACTGATCACTGTCGGAATATTTACAAATGTGAAAAGTGATTTTCAATCATGATTCATGTGCATTAAATTTAGATATAATCCTAGTGCCTATAGCTCTTACTAGAAAATTTGATCAACTATTTGAGTAGGTACACAGCATATATAAAAAGAGTTGCTTCAAAGGTTTGTCACATTTGGTGACAAGTTAGGCATGTAAAAATTGTAATATAAGTTGCACGTGTTTAAATTGCATGCCAAAGATGTTTTCCATTGTGTAACATTTCACCAGGATAGTATTGAGCATTTGGAAGAGATCCTTCTAATAACTCTGACCAATTATATCCCTATGAATTGTTGTAATTTGCAGCAATGCATAGTTAGTGAATTCACAACCTCACCATGTTCTGTATTAATTAAACTGCTAATTGGTTCTTATCCTATATTTAATAACCGTTTTAGTCTTGTCCCTAGAAAGGACATGTACATCATACATGCTTGCCAAGTCAACAAAAATTAGGTCATTATGTTCACCAGGGAGAAGGTTGAATTTTAAAGGATCTGCCCAAAATTTAAAGCCTGCTATTTCCACGAGCTCTTTTGCTATTCTTAACCTGGATTGTTGAATGATAAAAAAAAAGCTATTATGAATTCATATACTTTTTGGCAGATCATAAATGACTAACAATAAACAGTTCAAACATTGATATGGAATCTTGAAGAAATATGAGGGGTGCCCTCCCCTCAATTATTATACTCTTATGGCTCAGACCTATTAAATGTAGTGATTGGCTTTATTCACTTTTTGAACAAACATGTTTGTTCGCTTAAAATAAAATGAATGACAGATTTCTGTACAGATTCCTGGTACCTTAAATTCTTATTTCCCAATATGTTGTTATAACCTGCCCATACCAGTGGCGTCACCAGTATCGATAAGTGGGGTGGACATATTCATATATTCATGTTCACAGACTGTTAAAACAATCAATTTGAAAAGAAATGAATAATGTAAAACACAAATATCTGAATAAATCCCCCCCACTTATCAAGCTGTCGACGCCACTGGCCCATACACCATCAAAAGTAATCAAAGTTACACCAGCCAGATTTTTTTACAGAAAATATTGATGCATATTTTATACAGGACTCGAATGTAATCATTAGGCTTATGATATTTTGCAGAAAACTTCCATTTTAACTGTAAATATTTCAGGCATTTTCGGAAACCAAAAAATGTACCCATCGGTATTTAATATATTATAAGACATGAAAGATTGGCATGATGGGTTGTAATTCCTCGATTGAGATAATTCGCGCATGCCATAACAATATTTTATATTGAGCTTAACGAAATAGATTGATATTAATAGTGATGTTTACGACTTCCCCCGCGGATTATCTGCTCAAACAAAGGCAAACAACCATTGCATATTTACTCACAAAAGCCCTATTTAATCTTGGCGGAAAGATTACTTCTATTTTAAAAATTAATATACAGTATTTCATAAGACGTGTTTGTATTTATCGCGCTACAGGTGATCAACATATTACCACTGTGAATGGAATACATTTCGTATAAAATCGCCAAGAAATTAGTTTACTTTTTTTTATAGAATATAGTTGCTACGCCTGAATTTCACAAGCAGATAAAATATGCAAGTAATTATGCCCAAATTACTAAAGCCTTGACAACCGAAATTTTAGCATATTTTTAATTGCCAATACACGCTTTATAGACTGAAAGTCTGTGAGCCAGTTCAGCTCAAATAACTTCTCGATTTCATGTAAACATTCTAATTCAAATGTGTCGCTTTTATTCTGAACCCCGGGAGAAATTTAAATCCCGAAATCCTGCAGATTTTTACTGGGAATCTTTGAAAATGTATTGTTTAATTAGAATAGCTGATGATATGTGATGGAAAGCAAAACAAAACACGGGTTGTATCGCTTAGTCGGCACGATTTAAGCGAATATAAATATGAAATGTAAATTCGTGTATTCCTATTTTCCAAAACAATTAAATTCCAAAGATTTGTTCGAAATTTGTTCTAAATTTCTCCAAAGAATAGCTTATGTTCTATAGACGACATGAGTACATCTGGATTTACTTGTATTTCCTCTAGAAAGGGCTAAAATGTCATCTGGGCCTTGAATACACAAACACATTATCAAAAATATATTTACACAGTTTCAACGGAAATCCTCTTTTTCATAAGGCAAGAAGTTGCAAGTTTTGTAATATACAAGCATTAAATCCTAGTATTAAACATTAGAATGTAGAAATTATTTTTGATACAGTATCCTCGTATTAAAAGGTTACACGGGTCTGGGTTCAATAGTTCAAAATTAGTCACGAAACTTTCTAAAAATCAGAATTTTAGCCTAAGAATAATAAAATGCTTTTATACATCATGTGTTATGCGGAGTATGATCATTATTTCACAATTATAAATCCATATTCTGCAGATCTTGAATTGCAAGGACGTATTAAGCCTTTGATATTATTATTTAAAATCAAGTCTCACGCTGAATGCATAACCGTGAACCTTATTAAATGCAGTGCTTGAAGAATGATTTACAAAGTTGCAAAATATGCATCCTTATGTAAACTGTACGATTTGTTTTTTATATGTTGCAATGATGACTATGTTTTGAATGCAGTTTGAACCAGTAACACAATATAAGATCGTTATGCATATTTCTAGTAGCGAGATTTCTCAACCAATTTACAAATCTGAAATATACGATACTCATATTGTGCCTGCTTTTGCCCTTTCGATAATTGTTGCACAAAGTTGCTCAGCTGAAATCCATGCTGTGTCTTGATATACTTCGATAATAAGTATGCTTTGTGTAATTATGAACTGTGTAAAATCAATGCAAAACGAAAGGCAACTCAAGCGGTATACAATCTTGTCCGAGTTTGCCAGCATAATTACAAAACCGAAATATACATATTTGTGTTTGCTTGTGTAAAATGCAGAACAGCTTGAATGGTTACTTTATCAAAACAAGCCTATAACTTAAATCGACCGCATGTGCTTTTACTTGCATTAGAAAAACCTGTTGGATACAAGGTAAAACAGCCGAATACATTACCTCGAAACGAACAATCAAAACTTACGATGCTCTCCATAAATTAGCGTTGTATAAAACTGTTTCTTTCTTTAAAAATATCTATTTGTTTTCGTCCTGCGGTAATCCACTTACTGAACTAAATTTTTTCTGAACTGGGTATTGAAGAACAGTTGTATATAACGCCTATATATTGGGAATATCGTATTAACATCAATTGATCTAGAACGTAAATATGAATCTTGCCTTAGGGATTTGCTGTGATGTTTAAGCGATGCTGTTTTCTTTTCTTCCAAATTCTTTGCCAAGGTTGGTTCGGCCGAGATCCCAAGTCTTGGCAAACGAGATTTCGTGTTCGTCGTATTAGTTACAGTAGGCTTCAGAACCGAACGATATTTATCCAATTCCGATTCCAACTTACGAATCTGCTCGTCCTTACGTCTCAACTCTGCTTCTAAGACATGTATTCGGTTATCTTTAATCTTAGATTCGTTCTCTTTGTCGTTCAAAGCTGCTTGTAGCTCTCGGACGCTGCCCATTTTGTTGTGATCTTTGTGCCGACTAAACATCACTAAATCATTCGCGATAATTCGACTAGAAGACTTCTATTTTCATCGGCTCGATATGATACAGCTTTGCCGACGCGTTCCACAAAGTGAATTATCCGCCGCTATGCCGCAAAGCATGCTGGGTCAGGTGAAGCGTTTGTAAATCGCATACCTGCATATGAAGATGACGCGACAATGTCCCTTCACCGGCAATTCGCCGGCGGTTGTCAGGACATGAGAATAATGTAAATTCTTTTCATTTTTACAACTTGGAGATTTGTCTTCAGTTTAGTGTTATTGTAGAGGGTCCTGTTGATATATTCTCAACGCGCAGCCTGATCCAGTTCGTTCATTCGAACGAACAAAATTAACAAATAGTTGTGAATGCTTTGTTGTTGATAGAATTGTACGTTAATTCTAAGCGTTAAGGGCTTTCAAGGATTTTTATCCACAAACACCGTCCACTTCACCGAGTATTATCATGATGAACAAGGGGGAAAAATGTTGACCAATCAGGGCGTTTGTTGACATTTTGGTCTCTAGACCAATCAGATTACGTGGAATTTGCAAAATGTAAACAGAAGGAGTGAAATCATAACACCCTGTTCTAAGCCTTCTGCAGCAGTCAATATTTAGTTTTTCAATCTTAAAACACTAGAATCTGATAAAGCAATTCCTTTTCTACAATTTTGTCGTCGGATTTTTCCAGAATCGTCCTGGAGCGAAAATTATTTATGTTTGAATTGTCACGGCATGACCAGTGTAGATCACCAGTCCTGTCTCTAGACTCTACAGAAATTGCATTGTTTACAAACTGATTTCTCTAAAAAATAATGGTTACCAAGACGTTAACTAAATAATATATGACAAAGAGTGTATATTTACATTATAACTACCAAATATTGCTTTGCTTACTTTTTAAAATATTATGAATATTATATCGTATACAGCGGGGAAAAATCGCGCGCTTTTTCCGAAAATGTTTCTTTTTTCTCAGCGTATGCAAAAAGGATACTACAAATTGTTAAGTGAATAAAGTCTGTCAAAATGCCAAAATTTAAAAAGCAATGCAACAATCCGTTTCATAAAAAATGGTCGGGGCGTGAAGGAGAAAAGGTTTTAAATCTAAGAAATCGTGGCCTGCTTGTAATTTCAGTAGTTTTTGAGCAATATGTTAAGGAAGAACTTGGCGAAAAATCGTCTTATGGAATCCAGAATCTATGTGCAACATGCCTGCACAAATGCTTCACGAAAAGGAAATTTACGCGATTGCTTCCTAAAAAACAAGCCGACGAGTTGAAAAACAACGTGAAAAGCCAGGTATGACCTACAAAAAGCATTAAACTGATCAGTGAACTTGCTGTAATTATCAAAGAAAATCCGTTATTACAGAATGACAACATACTCTGGGCCCTCACATTGTAAATGCCCATACTTTTACATTTTAGAAATAAGTGGGTGGGGTGTGTAGGTGAAGAGCTGAAACCATATAATTACCTTATGGCCATTAGTATGGCCCTCAGAGAAAAAAAAGTCAATTAAGCACACTTGTAATTTAGCTTGTGGTATTGGAATCTTCTGCTAAAAACGAGATGAACAGGCAAGAATCTGAAAAAGAAACTACTGAAGTCAGCTCCCAAGGTGAAACTTCAACGGCTTACATCAACTCGCCTGTAGTTTTGAGTGGTGAAGAAACAATTTCCTGTTGCTCCAGCCAAACAATTGCAATTAGCAGTCAAGAATTGGAAAGCAATTCCAAAATTGTTACAGCCGAGCAAGAGTGCCAAACAGATGATGGTGTTTTTATGTCAATAGACAAATATGAAGAACTTGTAAAAAAGGCATCCTATCCAAATTTCAAAAATGATTTGAACAAACTCAGACCTGTCATAACAAAATTGGCAGAGCCTGAAATGGATCCTGATGTGTTTGAGATTATGTGCAAAGATGTTGGTGCTGATAAATTATATTCATCCATACAAGAAGCCATAACATTGGATCCAATGTCTGAAAAGAGAAAAAATCTTAACAAAATGCGCACAATGGTCATAATCTACACCATGTTATACTCACAATCACAAAAATGCAACTCATTTCAAGTCACACTATCCAGGACACTGCAGCAGTTTGGAATCAGCAAACAAGGGCTTGAATCTCTACGGAATCTTGGAATTGTTGCACATCCTAAGACAGTCAACATATTAACTAAATTAGCCTCTTCAACCCACACAAGTCATGTTGTTACATTCATTACAGATGCAATTAAGAAGAACCAATTCCTTATTTTATGCATCGATGACTACCACAATATTCACACACAACACCGCCCGGAGACAAAAACCCAGACTCAAGTGGTTCACATGGCAACTTTGCTTTTAAAAGTGTTCCCAGAAATTCAAGCAGTTCCACATCAGGGAAGTGATATACTACCAAAACATCCAGTTGAAATTCCTGATGTGAAAAACTTTATTTCCATTAACATGCCAAAATTAGCTAAAACATATGCTGAAAATATGCCTAGCTGGGCATTATCAAAATATTTTGATCCAGAAGCTGAGAGACAACGACTTCTAATTCATGATTATCAACAAGTGGAGAATCATAACATTACATGCATGGATAACACCAAACTGGTTGACAGCATCGAGTTACCTCTCAAATCTGTAGAAAATGCACTAACAGCTATAAACAAAATGCTTACAAGTGGCTTGGAAATTTATCTTAAGGACTTTATTGCACCCTTTGTTGGGGACTGGCCCATGCAATATTTCATTAGACAGTTGGTTTATTCATCATCTCCCAGTGTGCCAACAGTGTTGAAAAATGTGGTTCCCCTCATTGGTCCACTACATATATCCTTAAATGCAAGAGAATGTGTCTTATTGAATTTTCACAATGTTTTTGCTGACCTTTATGCTTTCATCTTTGGGAAAAAAGCAAAGCTGGCTAAGAAACCAAAACCATGGCGTACATCTCTGTTGCTTGAAATCATTTATGGCGGATGGACATTGATCAGGGATCTTATTCTCTCGATGTTCTACAAAAGCAAAGATATTCAGTTTTTAACACTGTTAAATCTTCTCGACAATTATATCCCATTGGTGTTAAGTATCTACTCAATTAACTTCAAGTGTAACAAATTTGAACTTTTTTTCCAGTCCATACTTCACTGTTGGGTTATGTTTGTAATATTCCGAAGGCGCCACTATAACAAAGCTTTGTTAATAACCCTGTCAACATTTCTTCATTGGCAAGAAAATGCTTCAACTATGCTTGAAACCATTGGTCAACATTTACCTGCATTCGATGAGTATCCAGTGGAAAACTTTCACTCAGTCTTGAGAAAACAAACCAAAGAAACTGATACAGCTGATGAAATTTCACGCAAAGCTAAAGAAATTGATGCTTGCAAGCATGAACTCCATTTCTTCCAATCTGCATTTGTTCCACCCAGAAAGCCAAATTACAGCAGAAAGCGAATTGACACCTTAAAAGTGAAAGCAGCAGAATTCCTCACCCTGAAGTTTGAATCTATTTACACCCACCCTAATTCAACAATTCAACAACCCCAAGCCCCTAGACAGCCAAAACATACCACTAAGTGGAAGCTACCCCACCTTTTTGGTGAGAAGATCATGACAAATAGAGTCCTTCCACTTGGATTTACATCCATCAAAAATCCCCCAAACCCAAACAGGTAAAATTATAAATTAAAATTCAATTGACTGAGCCATGGATGATGCAAATTTTAGGGTGATTACATTTACAAGCCAGTCAGGGTGAGTTTAGCCACCCTACTGAAATTTATAACAGACAACATAGGTATTAAATAATATAACCAAAACACATGAATATAAGCTCACAGTTTGCAACGGTGGGCTCCTCTGCCCCTTAAGAGTTAGAAATGCATGTCTTATCGTAATATAGGTAATAATCTCCTGCAAATTTTGCCTGACAAGCAAAGTTTTTATTAAAACCTGTACTAGTTACTAAATTGAAATTATATTAAGTCTTACTTTATATATTCCCTGTCATAGAAAGTGCGATTTGATCAGCTGCGAAAGAGTTAACCCTCTCTGGAACGTTTTCCGCGGATGTGGCCATTCATTTCATATCGAATGCCTTCTGCCAAATATTAGCAATTGCCCTGTTTGTGAAGCAACGTTGCTGTCGAGTGTTCAAGATCTCGGTACGACTGCAAATAACGCTGTATTTACTCCAGCGACCTACTTTGAACCCAGTGAAGATGAAAACGATGAGCAGAGCGACGACAGTGATAGCGATGTTGGAGAGACCGAAGACGAACAGAATAAAACAACTGTGGACGAACTGCTGCGAAAAATAAACCTTTGGCAAAGGCCATCCTCTGCATTGCTGTGAAAGGCAGAAATCGCAAGGGTAATACAGGCCTGTAAATTCCAAGAAGTAAACCGGATGTATACCTACACTTTAGTGGGGCGTTTCCGCATAAATTACGCTCGAGTTTAAAAATACAACGTCAAGGATTAAGTTATTTTTTTCATAAATCGGTTTAAATCGAACCCGGCACTCTTAAATCTCAAATTTGATCGTCTGTTAAAACACGACTTTGTCCAGATAATTCAAACATAAATAATTTTCGCTCCAGGACGATTCTGGAAAAATCCGACGACAAAATTGTAGAAAAGGAATTGCTTTATCAGATTCTAGTTTTTTAAGATTGAAAAACTAAATATTGACTGCTGCAGAAGGCTTTGAACAGGGTGTTATGATTTCACTCCTTCTGTTTACATTTTGCAAATTCCACGTAATCTGATTGGTCTAGAGACCAAAATGTCAACAAACGCCCTGATTGGTCAACATTTTTCCCCCTTGTTATCATGATGCAGTCGGTCGACACTGGGCAGCAAGTGATCTTCTGCTTCCAAAAATTGTCGCTTTGACTTTGTGAAGAAAACTGTAGTTGGTGATCGACAAAAATTTATTCATTATTGTGTTGGAGAGGGTTGGACGCACCTTCATCTCCACTGGAAATGACTCAATATAGGAATTAAAAATCTGTGTAGATCCCATGAATAGCTTCTATTGGGGTTTTTCTCTCAACACAGGGGAAACACTTGGATGTCCAAATACAAGCCTACCGAGTCCTTTAATTTCTGAAGCGATTTATAACGGAACATTTATAATTTGTCCTATCAAAATAGGGATACGGCATATGGTTCTGATACTTCTAAAACTAGATTTTCACACTGAATTATTAAAACGTTTGATTGTGATCTTGTGGATTCTTGCACTTTCATCCTTTATTTACAGATGTCTGCGATCGCATAGCCAGCAAGCTTAACTTGAATATGATTGATTTTTCATATGGCAATTGGTTTTTGTTACCGTGGATTTCGCGGTGCTTTACTGAGATTATTTTCCCAAAAAGATTTGAAACTGTCTATATCCTGTATTCTTATCGACCGCAGCTATTAGCTGCTATGGTAGCACAGCCGGTAACAAAGTCGATTTTCTTGCGGCGTCGATCTCAAATAACTGACCTTCATAATGAGGTCCCAACCTTAATGTTTCACTCTCCGTTAATGGGTTTTAATGGAAAGAACTTTTATTGAGAAAAGAAAAGTGTTTTAATGTACTAAGTAATGGGCATATTCGGATCACCAGCTGTATATTTACTGGGAAAATGTGCAGCAAAATATTTCACTGCTGAACGTAGCTTATTTATCATGCAAACTTGATGACGAAAAAAATTTAATCCGTTTATAATCTGTTTGCGCGTGTTAATAAAATCTATTAGGTAGTTTCAAATTCATGACCACTCGACCAGTGCTGTACAGCTAAATTTGCTAGACATAAAAAATGCGTGACGCGGGTTTCATATCTCTCTAGTCATCTAATCCTGTTATTTCTATCGAAAGATAATGTAGCTAATTTTTGTTCAATAGTAATTTTGCAATGAATTTTTAATAAAAAAGAGGGTCCGTGGATGAATGTCGAAAAATCTTTTTTAACCGTATTCGCACAAATTATCATTATTTTCCAAATTGTCAATATTCGGCGAATAAAGTTATTGTCAATTAATCATTTTATCACTTTAATCATCACTCAATAACGTTCTCAAAGATTCCTTTCTTTTGTGGTTTATGAAATAACCCACCAGTGAGGATACTTCTGTTATTATTATGGCAGTAATGAACGTGGCATAAATGAACCACTCTCGGTGTGACTATATATGCCAATGTTTTAAGCAAAGGTCCAACTTAAGTAGCCTGCAAAGGTCTAAAGCTTCTCAAATCTAGTGGGACTGCCCCCTCCTGATATTATTTTGGTAATTATTAAAATCAGGTGGGGCTGTCTGTTGGTGGAGCACCTGACCGAATCTGGTTATACAAATTACCAAATCTGGTCACCTGGTCCACTCTGCTGGTGTTGAATACAGTTTAATATAATTTTTATTTGGAATCTTCCAAAATTTGAGTTTCTTCATGCCACTCTAGAGTGGTATGAGGGAATTCAGACGTCTTGACAGGTTCATTGACATTACCCAGTGGCTAGCGCTTCATTAACTACCTAAGGGCTTGTTTATCTGATCTTGTCTATCTGGGGCAGGATATTTCACCAGGAAAGCCATGGCATGTGTGGACCGAAATACATATGGACATATGGACCGAAACAATGTCGGGATAAAGCTAACTTTTAAGTGCTTGGTGTCAAGTGTTTTGCAGAAACCACTGAGAAGCCTACTAATAATTCTTACCTTGTGTTTTTTGGCCAGCGGCGTAACGAGTCAACACTAAAGGTCATGGGCGGGGCTGACACGCCTTGAGCCCGCACACGTGGTATAACACAGGTCTGCGGTTTCATTACTGACATCAATTTTTCGTTCTTGTTTTGTAATTGGTCGATTTTGTTTTCATGCTCCCGGATGAGGAGATTATTATCCATAAGCGTATGCCGAAGATTTCCAATTTCCCTCCGAAGCTTTTTAAGCTCCTGGTTTTCTTTCAGTTTATATTGTTTTACCATAATTTCATATTCATTGATAATGCTATCTTTTCGCCTCAGTTCTTTGCGTAGAAAGTTGTTTTCCTTCGCGTGGATTTCGATCTGTTTGCTTCGCTCCTTTAAAGTACTTTCCAACAAAGCGATGGAACACTTCAGCCGTTCCATATTCATTCCAGTTGTGCCTTGGGAAGTATAGAATCAGGGTAATTAGCTTGAGAGTTTTCAAAACAAACTACTCATACTTTAAAAGCATTGAACTTCATCTCTTTATGGTCTCTAAAAACAAATCGAACACGAAAATTTTCCAATTTCATGATTTTTCTCAGATATACATCTTCAACCGTTGAATTCTCGTGCAAACAATCTACACTATACACAGATAGCGACAGTAGTTGTGATGTAAATGTGACGTTAGATGTTTTTTAAATTGCACTGATAAAAGGTCTAGCTAGGTTCGCCACCGAAAGCTTTACGATAATATAAGATGCATCATATACATATTGTGTAACCTCAACCTATAAAAACTGCATGAAATACTGAAGTAACACTTGTTTACCAGAAGCATGATTGTCTGTCTCGAAGACAAAGTCATAGTGAATCTTTTATGTCTTAATCTGATAACTGCAGACTGACGCGTTTAAGATAAAATCAACGTGGAAAAAGGCACAGAGTTATATAACAAAGTTCTTTTAAGAATTATTTACCATTACTGTACTCAATGCTTCATAAATATAAATTGAAATATTTCAATGGATAAGTAATACGAAATACGCAGCAGATGATCTGATATAAATTGACTGCACTCTTATAAATTGTAAATATATATATTATTCACTTTCTTTCAGTGTGCAGTCAATTTATAAATTATAATATGTATATAGAGTTATTGTTTAGTATTTTAGAACTACATATTCTCTACTGAGTCGTTTGATAGCTACATAGTAATACATTACATATATGATACATATGATTTAATGGTACGAAGAACTATAATCCATTCCTAAATATCAACTTCTCGAATTATCGTCCTTGCCTTTAGAGGGAAGTTTGTAGTTAGTACAAAGCAATGGAATAGCATATTAAGACTTATGATTTCGGTGGTCACGTACTGCGGTGAAACATGGATTCAGTTTGTTCCACTCAGAATAACGTCGCACGAAGATTTGAAAGCTATTTATAAATTACGTTTATATACCATTTTCTACTAGAAAGCCATCGTTAATTTTCGCGCTACCATGAGTAACGACTATCTTTGGGTTCGTCCGTGCCATCAACCTTTCATACTTCGCCATATCTTGGTTTTGGTAGGAAAATTTTGCTTTAAAATCGTGTATTTATACTGCCATTGCGGAGGTGTAAAGTCGGCAAGTACTTTAAACAAAAAATTATTCAACGTCATTAAGTACTTAATTGTCTTTCAGAAGTAGAATTAAAATTTTAAAGTGGCAGAAAACAAAGACCTAAAGTGTCGATTAGTTTATTGTGTTGCAATTGTAGACGGTATTCCGAAGCGACTTTCCGTCGTTCGTGTTTTAACTACCTGAAAAAGACATCTTCAAACCTGAGGATCCATTTTGGGTGGTAGTTTGAATTGTTATAATGTATATGTAAAAAAAAGTATGTAAAACGGTCTGAACTATATAGATATCAACTAAAGATATCTCGCACTAGACGGTTAAAAATTCAGAAATTATATATCCATTAGAAAATTATGTCAAATATTTCAATGTAGAAATATTTCCTGGTTTGGTTTAAAGGCGTCGCTTCCTGAAAATATTTCCAATGTAGGCGTTGGCCAGGACGTTTGTATATACAACCTGTGATTAAAGCCAATATCAATCGCCTACAATTAAATCGTAAAAATCTATAATGGTAAATCATTATGCTGTGTGTATTTCCGCTGTTTATCCAATTGTTTAAAGCTCTTAACGTTATAGGGTCAAATAACTATGCGATGTAGTTTAAAATAGATCGTGTTTGTTTGGTTATTAATTGTATCGTGATTCGACTTATTAGCATTTCTTAAATTTTGCTTGTTTCTTCTTTGGTCGGATCAATTCGTAAAGTATTTGTCATCTGTTAAGTCCTAATTCCGGCTAAATTTTCAAGCGAAATGCGAATATCTCGCCTGCTTCTTTTGAGTTATGAGCAATGAAGCACAATTAATTTTATTCAAGTGGTCGAAATTCAAAAGAAACATCCGAAAGATTTCGCATTTCGCCGAGAAAAATCGCCTGTGGAATTAGGCCCTTATTGATGTCTATCACTAGTGGAAAACCGGCTTTAAAGTGAAAATATTGCTAGTAATATTATAGGGAAACCGCTTTCGGTGGCCTTGTTATTAGATAGGAAATTTCTTCTATGAAAATGGAAACCTACTTGCGACACAACCCCCCCCCCCCCATTTCGATACCCTCCCCGATTTCGATACGACAACGTTATTGTATTAATTTTTTCCACCAAAGATGGTAAATAATTTATGTTTTTATTATTATTATCATTATACACAGAAGAAGCTAGGTCTAGTTGCTCAGTGACTCGTGCGAGCTCGAGATGTTAGCTCTATGTGACAACTGAAGTTTCTCTGCCTGAGACCCCATTTTGTGCTATAGGCGTCTCACAGCATTGTGTGGTTGACTGGGGATAATTTTCAGTGCAGATGTGATTTTGGTCTTTGACTTTTGGTGATAACAAATATCTAGTCGGAATTAGTCCATTCTCATGATCTCATTGGAATCATCTAATTCAAATAATTCTGAATTCCTGCTGCTGAATGATTTATGACCCCTCAGGCCTTGGGGGCTTTCACTTACATAGCCTGCGCGCAGGCGCTGTATAGTAATAACTTCCGGGCGCCAAGTCGCCAACATTCGCGGGCTACAAATATTTCAAGGCACTCGTGCAATAGTCTGAAAGCTAATCTGAACTTACAGCGTGATAACGACACCGTGAAGTCTGCTTTTAGGGAATTACACGCAAAGTTGATCGGGGGTTTACAGTAAAGAGGCTTAGCCTTAGAGAATCGAGAAGCGTTGTAACGAAGAACTGTCGAGTACTGTAAACAAATACAAACTAGAGCTTTTCGCCTCGCGCGAAATCATGCTATGTTTGGCTCAGGTGAAGAAATACGTAGAAAACGAAAATATTTTGTAGACGTCTTCAGGTAAATACTTTTTTTTAACTGGGTTTAGCAATTTGTAGCCACAATAGCCACAACTACGAAACTGGTGCCAAGCGCGTGTGTGATTCGAATACGATTCGTATATGTTCAAATATAAATGTTTATTCCAGGATTACAATCTCTCACAAAAAGCACATATAAACATGCTGCAAATGATAAATGCTAAATGTAATACGATCTTATAAACCATGCAGACATGTAGGTCCTATATAATATGTATAAATCCACTCATTCTTACTGATCCACGGATGCTATTTTACAGCCTGCATGGAATTTGGGGAACACATGTTTCTGGTGTGAAATAAAAAAAAACCCGAAATGTAATACTGTTTAATATAGTAATTCACGGGTCTGTGAAAGAAAGGAAGGGATAGTGACATTGTGTCAAATTCATTATTGAAATCAGTGGACCACGAAACCCCTTACACAGCAAGAAGGCTAATGTCTGAGTTATAACGTATAATGTTGTTCAAATTAAGTATTTACACAAAATTTAAAAGGCTGTGCGTGGGGTTTGTGATATGAATTTATGGTAACACGAGTTGTATTTAGTATTTGTAAGCTTTGTTACGCTAATGACACCACAGTCCAAATTAGGAAATATTAACAAACTTTAAACTAATGAGTTGAAAGTTGTTTATATATTTTGATATGAACTATATATATTACGAATTTTTATATTTTGAGTTGTGGTATAATACATTTCCCAGTACTTGCAAACGAGCAGTTTAAATATGACCACCGTTGGCTACAATATATATAGCTAATTTAGTTCTTGAGATGTTGTATGGTTTCATGGTTTAGATTATATGAATTATTGAATTACAAATAAGTCAAACCATAAATTCTCAAAACCACAACATTTTTTTTTAAAAAAACCCCCGAGGTAATGTGGTTATTAAATGAAGTACTTGGTTTGTCACCGTCCACTAATTTCAATCAGTAGATACGAGGGACCGCCAGCCTTAACAACTTACCGTCATGCTCTTTTGTTGGTGTTGCTGCTCTTGAAAAAAGAGAAAAACCTGGCTTTTTTGACAATGCTTGCTTTTTCCCTCGATAGTTCTCCATCCTATATGTAGAATTTTTAAAATATAAAAAAAAAATGTAACATGAAGTAAAACATGCGTTCTTTGACTACATCTAGCACCTCGAAGTTGTATTCTCCCGGTACTTTTCAAACGGTTTCTATCTGTTACTTAGTGTAAAAATGTAAATAGTCTGGGTAACTATATATAGTGATTGCATGAAGATTCCTACAAGTCTTTTTTCACTCAGAGCAACTTGGCTTGCAATATGTCATGAAAAGTTTTTATTTTTTCGAAATCAGACAAAAAAAATTTTTTGGTATAAGACCACCTTAAAAGGCCAATCATATTCTGCAACCGTGGTTTTTTACTAGCGATGATTTTCGCGCGAAACGACATTCTGCTTTTGTTTCATAGGCCCCAGAGCTCTAAACTCTGCAAACATTTGCGCCAAAATCATCGCTAGTGAAAAACCCGCGTCTTAAAATACTTTTGTACAAAAATATATGCATTGGCCGGTTGTATGAAAATTTTAGTGCCATATTTGGCCAATCAAAATTGTGTATTTTTGATTTACTATCAAAATGTAGTTAAGAGGGGGCAAAGCTGCCGACCAGTACTGAGTTATTGACTAGGAAATGTTACTGACTGGCCAGTAAGATAGCAGGCATGACGTGCGCGACGACCCATACACTGACGTCGAAGGCTTCGACTCAAGTGGTCCTTCTAGTCCTTTCATCAATCATTGTCTTGATTGACGCAGTAGAGCTCTGCCTAACCGCAAATAACTCAGTCATGTCTTCAACTTCTACAATTCATACATTACAACACGTTTTCTTTCGGTGGCATTCTTATGAAAGAGTTTTGGCTGTCTTTCTCGCGCTATCCTCCTTAATCGTAACATGCACCTAATCTATAGTTTTCAAAACTGGAGGTTGACTCTATACATCTGCTGCACCATAGTGGCCCTGCTGTTGTATGTTACTATTCGTTCTTCATGCATTTAACAGACATACTAGGATAACAAAAATAACTTTGGAACCTAATTATAACTTTACCTGAATAAGAATGTCTGCATGACTGAATGCATGTAGTTTATGCATGTTTTAAGTAGCTGTCTCATCAAATATTCATGTGGAAAGTGTGCTTAGCTTTTCTCAACACCGAAGGTGTACTCTGGGAACAGCTTATACTCTTTATTCGGGCAATGGGAAGAAAGCGATGACACTAACATGACCTCTAGAGGACTAGAGATCAGACGAACACAAATTGGTCGTGCTGTGAACAGGCAATGCATGTACAGTTAATTAATTGATGCACGATTTTAATAGCAGGCAACCATTATTTGCATAGCCGTAAAAAAATACCACCTATCAATCTGACACCTTAGCCAAGATGAGATGTTGCCGTTATATTTTCTGTTTATAAGTGTCTGGTTTTAGAACTATCACATATACTTCACTAAAACATTCTAGAAAAACCCTGTAACAAACATATCACAGCAGACAATCGTGTACGATCGCTTACTTTCCAAGCTTGTTAGAAGACGATTACCACAACAACACCGTAAATGTGTTTTCTACATCAATATGAATCACTTCCAGGTCTTCGTTACGGAGATGGAGAACACCACACGCAGATTTTTTGTGACTATAAATACGCCGTAAACAGAGACTGTTTCATGTCTCGATAACAGTTTAAACTTTAAAGGTATTTCAGACCTTTTAGGTACGACTGTTTAACAATGTGTACCTTATTAAGGTGTCAAAACTTAGTGTAGACTATAGTGACATTAACGTGATAGATCGGAAGAGTGATAGCATTTTTAAATGTCGGCAACTTGATACTTATTTGTTTAATCAGTTTATCTATGCTTAGATTATTCACGGGATTAATATATTTGATGAGATTACCATGTTATATGCAAACCAAAGTACATTCATGCATGCATTATAATACGGTAAAGGTAACACTTGGAATATGGTTTTTAAAATTATACGCGTTAAGAAGGGCTTTTAAGACAATCCCGAAAGCATATCGCACCAGGGTTTAGAGTAAACGCTCGGCTATAGGGTTGCTGCGGTAGGACTGAATTAAAAAAATTTGAATTCAGTTCAATTATTCAAAAAATAAAAAAATTCGAATTCGGAGGATTTTCATTCAACCTAATTCAATTTTGTAAACATATATAATTTGACTTGAGTTCGAACTATAGATCTTCTAATAGTAATAAGAATAAAATGCCAGACAATGTTCGAAAAATACCGCAAAAATCGTTCTTCAGTGAGTGAAGATTCATGTTTCCTTTTTTCCTGTTTGCTTCACCAAATGCAAGAGTACAAACAATCTGATCTAACAATCATTTCACTGAAAGCAATACATGTACGTATAGAAATTTGCAAATGACATTTGGCGGAAACATGACAGTAGTATAAACCAATTAATGTGATCTGCATGAGGGCCTCTTGTTGGATGGATTAACAATTCAAACAGCATATATTACGACTGTACACATACCATTTCGTCATACATTTTTCAAAGTTCTCATCTGTCTTAATTATATATACATGCCTACTTCGAAATATGAATTGTGGGCGTTGATCTCCTAAAAAAGTCTTAGTTGTTGCCATATGTTTTTTAGTTTGGTATTCGAGTGCCGTCCAATTTTCATGCAGTGGCATTGTGGCAACAAATTATTTGGGTATTTTTACATATGAGGTGATGTCCTAGGACATCAGCTTGACAACTACTTGAAGTGGGTTGAGAACAGAGGTAAGGCTTTTTCTTGGTGGAGTAGAAGCATGTCTCAGACTATCAAGATAAAATTCCTTTCAATTGTTTATTAATCAAAGTGCTTTCGTTCCTCCTAACAGTTTTGTAATTTAATAACTATGTATAGGCGGATGGTGATGATAATCAAAAGTGAACGCCTCGTGTTCACAGCAAAGATGTTACAATAGACAACTTGGCTCGATGTAGCGTATCTTGCTGTTTCGGTGTCCTCCTGATACCATTTGAGCTTTAAAAAAACAACCAGAAGCAAGATATAGCAGCTTAAAGTGTATGTCGAAAATTAATCTTCTTTACCTGTATGGGATATTCGTTATAAAGAACCGATGGCAATGTTGAACTCAAGCCCGTTATATATATCTAATTGTGGAGACCAGGTAAAAAACACTGGTCAACTGGTAAATATCAGACCGGATAAACGATACTCGACTTGGCAAACCATGCAGAGTACACGAGACCACAGAACCCAAATATTCCATCGGCTTTGTTGAGAGACATCAAGAGACAAGACGATGATGGAGTCACTTTACCCGTAAAATTCGACTATAGGCATGTAACGAGCGTCAATAATCGATTAAAATAAAGACGCCACGTATGGAGTTTGACCATGCTTTGGTCTTCCGTAAAGAATAAAAAAGAGCTGGTTGCTGCAGTTTCTCGATTGTCGACCATGCTGAGTCAGCCAATATAGACGTTAGACAAAGTTATTATTTATAGAAAATGACGTCGCTGTTTACGTTGGATCTACGGAGGTATGATTTGTTTCAATTTCATATGTACTCAAAGTGGAGTAATTATTGCTGTTACCATGAAATGAGAATTATCGCGAAGGTATTTTGTATTTAATGTTCCGAATCTGGGTGCATGGGTTGAATAACTGCGAAAGCAACAACATTTCATCATTTTCATGGTATGTACAATATCACGCGTTTTTTGTTTTTGATTTGACCTCGAATGACGTCAATCATATTCTATTATTTCTAATACTGCATTAGAAATTACGTATATAAAATAACATGTGGATCATCTCATCCATGATCTTGTCCAATTTTGATCCAAACAGACGATTTTAAAGAATTGATTATTCAACATATTGCGCATGCACCACCATCCCGGTCGCTTCCAATTTTAATCCAAAACGAACCATCCATAAATTAATTATCTTGGTTTCTACACTTTGTTAACGAAAGTTGAATGTTCTTCACTCGATTTGCAATTAAGGGCGCGTCTTGTAAAATTTCACATTCTCTCAAGGACGATCTTCAAATAATAATGAATATAAAAACGCACTGATTATGCAATATAGGAATTTCAAGCAAAATTCAATAAAAAGTAGCTACATAGTTAGAAAACTGTTCCTGCGATATCCTTGACACTATGCAAAGTGTACAATAGGCGTTTTGAACAATGGCATGCATAACAAGTATGTCTAGAACATTAGTATTTTTGAAAGTGATGTGAGCAATTCAGAACACATCTGTTAATATCTTTTTCCATCTGTACGATGGATTGTGTGTTCACACTTTCAGTTTTAAGAAGGAAAACCTCTCTTCGAAACTAACTATATCGTCATATATACTTTTACCATGCATGCAAGTAGACTTTGAAAGATCAAATTGTTTTTAAGTTTTAGTCTCGAATTCGGACCATTTAACAGCCCTTTCATTAACATTTATGTATATTTGACACGTCGTTCATTTTCCATCTCAACTAATACTGTTTTTTTTTAATTTTAATTTTTTTAATCGGTGTCGGAAATATGCCGTCAGAAGCCATATGTCTAAAGCTAACACACATCCCCTAGTTTTACATTTGAATCACAGTTGAATCATTCACTTACAATCAAGATTACTCGAGGCTCACATTTAACACATACTAAGTTGCATATGTGAAATCCCAAGACGTATACTTGATTAACTGAATTATCCCCCAACACTGACTCTAATATCCCCATAGGCATAGTTGTCAACATCCTCTAATATACATTGACTGTGTTTTCGTTCACCATCCTCGATACAATTTTGATTATATATGTAGATGAGCGTAAACTTGGGTTTGAAGTTAGATAATACTAAATTGTCCACTATATAACTAACTGCATATTTATTGCTTACTTATATTCCAAATGCAATATTCTGCTACCGCTGGAAGAAGATAAGTCTTAAATTTTTTGCTTTGTTTCTAATCGCACTCTCTCACAGATGTATAGAAGAGGCCGTTCGTGCTTTACTACTCATCCGCCTCTATAAAATGTCAGAATTTCAGAAGTGTAGCAGCCGTCGCAAGGACGGCAAGGTAGGCATTGATTGGCTAAAAATGTAATCAGAACACCGAGAACGCCGAGCCAATGGGAACGCGTATTTTACTAGTTCCAGTCTAATCTAAATGTTTCGCAACGCGCTTAGATGCAAAGGAAAAGCCCTGATGATGTTTGATAAAATTTTCAGCTTTTCAGCAAGACCAATCAGGCAATCTTTCTTCTTTCATCAAAGAGTTATTGAAAATGTCGAGGTTTTGGATATTTTGTGCCTTCACTCGTTGATTATATTTTCTCTTTAATAAACGAAGTTACCTCAGAAGTTACAGTGCAGATTAATTTTATATTGATTCCAATATGAAAACAAATATTCTGAATATGAAAACAAAGCATAAATAACGGTCATTAGATAATGAGCTAGAGTTTGTTCGCGTTACTAAAGGCTTAACAGCATACTCAACCTCAAAAATCATGAATAGTTTTAGGTATGGGAGATACAATTGATGACTTGAGAAGCTCTGGGATTGTTCCTTCCTGCAGAGTGTTATTATAGATTTCTGCCAATACCGGCGATAGTTCTAACGCAAAATCGCGAAGTACTCTATCAAGATTTAATTTTCTTCAAAGCATGGAACATTTCATAATCATTAATGAGCAACTTTGGTGGAATTTTGTCTAGATGATTACTGGTGTTCGGATCTAGTGGTTGGTATTCTGGGGACAAGTTAACAAAGTAATTGTTCATATTTTCCGCAAGTTCATCCAGTGATGAAACATTGTCGCCCAAAAGTTGCTCCGGCCATTTCACTTCACTCACGTTGCCTCCCAATTTCTTAACTTCTTTCCACCATTTAGAAGATCACTACCACGATGTACATTTTGGACCTCATCCTTGTAGTAGGTTTCTCTTCATTTTTTCACTTCTACTTGGACCTTGTTACGCCACATATTAAACGTGTGCGATTGTTTTCCATACTTTGCCAATGATGATTGTCTTTGTAAGATTGGTCCGTTGGAGTTATGCGCTTTATTTCGATGAATGTAGTAGACACGTAATCGTATAGTTTTGACTTTTGATTGTTCATTAATACTGATACTATTCGATCTATATATACAATATTAAGAATTATAAGTAAAGTAATAATGTATAAATGAGTTAAGAACTTAATCGTTGCTATACTTACTTCTTTGGCGTATCCTCAGGGCTACATTCAATATGTATCTGGTTAGCAAATTTACCGAATATTCGACAAAACAGGTTAGCTTTTCTTTTAGATCCTTTCGATAGGAGTTCTAGTATCAATTGGCTTTAACTTTAACATGCAATCTACTTTTCGGTCAACTGACACATGTCATTGTCACAAACTAATATAAACAGAACTAATATAACATAACTAATGTACCTTATTTAATCAATCTATAATTGTTTCCTGAGTACCTCACGAACCAAAGATAAATGATTTAACTTGTTCGTTAGCCATGGTTTATCACAAGGAGTTATTTTCTGTTTTCTCAACGGCAAATATCTATTAATAGCTTCCATTATGGTATCATAAAAAATGTCAAATTTACTAGAGTGGGGCCAGGGATAGGTTGGTACCGATGTGAGTGGGGGCAGGGATATGTTGGTACCGATGTGAGTGGGGGCAGGGATATGTTGGTACTACAGGGATTAAAGTCACCGGTGATAACAGTTAAAAAATCTGGGTACTTATCAAGGAACGAGTTAACATTGGTATTTATATGCTTAATCAATGCATCGTTGTCTTCTGCTGTGGCTGAAACCAGTTCTGTGAATGCGTTTTTCATACAGCTCTTTGCCAAAAGCGACTTTGAGGCAACCTTGGTCTTACGTAGGACTTGCTTGTTGAGCGACGCCATTACTGTGCACTTACGTATGAATACGAAATACGAATTGGTTCCACGAAATTTTAAGTAGGATTCAACAATGCTGGTCAGCTAATGAGAGCATCCAAAATTTAGTAAAGCTTGGTTGCGATGTTTTCTAAAATGTTTAAAATACTGGTGAAGTTGGCAATTGTGGCTTTGGTCCCTTCTGCTGTAATTAGCGACAAACAAAAAAAGTGGTCGAGTGACGGCTGCTGCAGAAGTATTGGTCGAATTGAGTGTTTAGCGAGAACACACCTGGTCTGACACAACAGGCTGTGTGATGTATTTGTATGTTCCGCGACATGTCATTAAGCAAATATTTGTTCTCTTTCCAAGAAATCTCTGTTTCCACTGGGTGTTGGCAGATGTGACCCAGAGTCCCAGACACACGTGAAGTGAAAGTGCTCCTAACGGAAGTTATTTTTTTCTCTTTCACTCTCCATCTACCTTTTACTTTTTCGGGTCTAGTTCTGTATTTAAAATATTGCAGATCTGGATAACTACTGATTCAACTAAACCTCGATCTTCACCAGAAGTTGGCGTCAGAACTGCTCCGTTTGCTCGTATACTGATTCAGTTTCTTTATCGAAAATCTGTTTTTCAATTTTTTGACGACGTTTATATAGCACCACATGGTGTCATTTTTATCCTGAGAAAAATACACAATTGCCAAATAAATTCCTCATAATAATTAATATTTTGTTCACTCAACAATTATCTGCGACTTAATAACAGTGTCTTACCTTTGGCTTTGAGTAAGCTGAACCTTTTTTCATCTGCGTGATCTATTCGCTGTGGAGTGGCTTTGATAACGGCGATTCATTGCGGAGCAAATCCAAGTGATAGTCAAGAATTTTCCAAGATCCTAGATGCAGTTTACGTTTTTGCAAATGTAACGCAGCTTTAATGAGAGTTGAGATGTAAAGTATCTCTTAATTTGGCTATTGTTTCGTAGCTCTCTTTACCATGCATTCTTGTTTTCGATACTTCCTAAGAAATCCGTCAGTTCTTCGCCCGCCATTACATATACAACGTGTCAATTCAACGTTGTCGACTTCGGAATTTTTTTTCGAAGTTAAGAAGTTCACAGCGAAGTTCCTGCACATTCCCGAACTTCGAAACATAATTGACAACTTGGCAACGAACTTCGCAACCGCGCCTTGAAAAGTGAATTGAAATCGTCGATAACGCCCCAAGGTGGTTGTGTGCCAAACTCGTCAACTTCAACTTCGGTAATGTCGTCTGTGATGCAGGGGATACCCACTTCATTCACGGAAAATAGACAGTTGTTTTCCAACGATCTGATTGGAAATTTGTAGAGCTTCATGTTCATTTCTTCAAGACACCTATACCAGAACTTTTTTTTACATAATTCTTCGATATATATATCAAAGGCCAGCTTCTCATCAAGATCAATCTCCAGACATTTGTTGGAGGTGACAGATGTCAGAGTTTTGTTGTTTATAGTGACGCTAGAGCGTAGATTACCAACTTTAGAGTTTAGATTATATCTAGACCTATAACCATAAGCTTGGTTTTATAGTGATGAGACTGCAGTTTGTTTACATTTAACTAGTCCGTCATGTTTCTCAAGTCTGAACTTAAATTTTCCGCTTTAAATTTTCCGAGTCATATGATGAAGTGAATATTTGCGAATCATCTGCTTTCCAATCCTGCCGACAATGAGGACGGCCAATAAACGTTTCCAACTTCTTCTGGTGGGTTTTGCGGCCTTTCTGATCTACTTATTATATAGTGTGTACAACTCTCTATGGAATGCTTTTCTTTTTTTCCACTTTTGATGGTTAGTTTCGTAGTTTTAGGCGACCATAAGTAGGTTGTCATGGTGTTTCCAACTTTATTTTGTTCCTCTCTTGACTCTTGTAGCTTTTCTAATCACCCCGTTATATGGTGCGTAGAACTCTTTACCTTGTGGTGACCTACCTGCTTCCTTTTTAAAACCCCTTCTTCGATTAGGGTTTTGATTAAACTTGCCTGTCCATAGATTCCACCACAATCAGGAACGTGGACTACTTTCCTGACTTTCTAAGCAGCAATTGTACGATGAAGGCATCATTCATTTTTATGAAAAGAAGTGCTCTTT